AATCATGGAGCAAGAATTCTAACACCTCCCCCCCCCAACCCCGAGACAATGAGCCCAGCCACCTTTTATTTGCAGTTGCATAAGCACTACACTACAGCATGGCCATAAACATGTACGTTCAACCACTGAAATACACACCCAATATGTAGCAATGGAGATTTATGTTACTGCTTTATGAATGAACACTGTGTTTTATGAATGGACTCTGTATTTTTGGAATTACCTAAGAGCCACCAATAGGGAGCTCTAGAATCTGACAGCTAACCAATTGGGTACTACCAAACAGCGACCCCTATTGCTGAAAGCAGGTAATCAGCAGGAAACGCTTCAGCTCAGCCTTTCCACTGTTGACTAAACATCTGCTGTGCACATAATGGAGAAAGCTCATAAATTGTATCCCTTCTTTCGTCCTGGCCAACTCTATTACGCTGGTGTAAACCCTGGTGCACCAGGAGCCCAGAATAACAGCAAATAAAATCTGCTCTTATGTCAGCGACTGATAAGACTTGTCAACCTGTTATTCCAAAGTCTTTCTAGATTATAAAGCTCCACAATACAGACCAAAAGAGAGCAGGTCTGGGAAGAGCAAGCCATACAGTGGGCACCACCAGTGAAAAGGCCCTGCTCTGTGTAGCTCCTGCCTTGTCATTTGATAGGGTGCCCACTTGCCCTCCTTCTTGACATGAATGCTCTCTATTGGAGTCTCCAGGTCCAATATAAAGACCATAAGAAGGGAGAGCAGGGACCTTGAAGTTCCCAACAGCTGTTAATCAAGCAAGCAAGCAAGCACACAGGTCACCTTTGTTACAGGACCCCTATGTCCTGGCCAGGCCTGCACCCAATCTTGTTTGTGTACACTCTTGTTTGTTCTCAGTAACAAAAATCATATTATCAACATATACAAGGAGAAAAGTTTTCCCCCTTCATTTGCAAGGAATCATACAAAACAAAGTGGCACTAATAAAAGTTCCAGGGTGGCAACAGAAAGCAAACCAAAAATGCTTTTGCAGTTCATCAGAACTATCCAGCAATATCAAGTTATAGGAAAACTGGTGCTATTAACAGTAACCGTAGTTGGTTAATTGATTTGGCAATTTTCATGCACATAAGTTCTGATGCTAATTCCCGCCCGCCCCAAGAATTAAATGATAACTCATCAGAGGCAGCTACAGTTGCAAATGGAAACAAAATATCTATGATAGGAAGAGGAGCAGGTTTGCTCAAGTGTGTTGCAGGTAAAAATACTGTTTGTAATGAAGTGAGAGCAGTAGCTGCTCGAATAAACAAATAAGAAAGTTTTGAGAATTTACATGCAAGATTAAAATTCATTTTAATGACCTGTCAGGTGATTAACTCATCTGTCAGGAGAGCTATGAGATTCAGGTGAGGGTCATATGGCTTGTCAATCCCAGCAGGTATATAACAGGAAGGCCGATGGCCTGCCCAGGCCATACCCGTCATCATCCTTGGCTTCACTCAATTTTGTTTATAACACTCTTCCATTTTCTTCTAGTTGTGAGGGTGGGGAGGGGCCTCACAATTGGAGTAGCCTAGGGCCTCTCTTCATCTAAATCCAGCCCTACTCCTGAGTCTCACAGGGTTGCCACAGAAAGACTGTAGCCGGTTAAGGGAGCCATGGCCTCAAAAACGTTGAGAACCTCAGCTATAGCAAAACGTACTACATCACTTTTCCCACTAGATGTCATAGTAATGTAGCTGTAGAAATGTTATCTTAAGAAGCTAGGCTGATTTTCATGGGTAACGCTAAAAACAGGATTGCAGGTGTGCAACTTCAAGTCCAAGACCAAGCAATAAGTGAAGGAGATGCTTAATGTTTCTCCTGCCTTCACCTTCTCTTGCGATCTCACTGCTTTCCCTACTGTGGATTTTTATGTGTCAGTATCAAGAGCATTACCTACAGTGAGGACTTTCATTAATAATTTGGTGTAATAATTTGGCTCCTACACATTGTGGAACTATCAAAACTGATTCTTTTTTTTCTGGTTCTCATAGCACACTAGGAAGTATTGGGTTGAAATTAAATAAAGAAGGGACATCTACGAATGGGGCAGCTCATATTTATATTTTGAACTGGTGCCTGGTCCCTCCTTCTTTCCCACTACACATAGTGTATGAACACATCATTTTCAAAAATCCAGCCAAATCGTAAGTATGATCCCAAGATGCTTCTGATATGTATAATCCATGAGCAAAACAATGACCAAAAGGCAAGCAAGGTTCAAAGCAGCATAAAATGGCAAAAGCAGCCAGATGAAAGCATGTTTGAACCATTATAATGTGGCCATTCTGGGCGATTGATTCAGGAGAGTTAAACAGACACATTTTTGCACGGACGCTATATTTACGCTACTTATCTGCACATGTAGTCCAAACAGGAACAGAGGCAGCCCTGTACTCACCTTCACCTCAGAGTAAGCCTTGTGTAAAAGTTCTGCATTGCTTAAGCTTCATTTAAGCTCCACATTAAGATCTTAAGTAGAGATAATACTTTGGCCACCTCATGAGAAGAGAAGACTCTCTGGAAAAGACCCAGAGGTTGGGAAAGATTGATGGCACAAGGAGAAGGGGACGACAGAGGACGAGATGGTTAGACAGTGTTCTCGAAGCTACCAACATGAGTCTGACCAAACTACAGGAGGCAGTGGAAGACAGAAGTGCCTGGCGTGCTCTGGTCCATGGGGTCACGAAGAGTCGGACATGAATGAACAACTAAACAACAACAAAAGTGATATATAAATCACTTTAAGCTGTGTCAAAATTCACCATTATAATAATGTTGTCAACCTAAATCTACATGCTTCTTAATGGCTGTGTGTGTGTGTGTGTGTGTGTGTGTGTGTCTGTGTGTGTGTGTTCAGAGCAAAGTCATCACAGGTAAGTTCCCAAAGGAGACCCCAGGTGACAGATGGGGTCTTCTATATCAATTCTGGACTTCCCATTAGGTCCATTGCTGTCTTTGCTCTCAAGGCACTGAAGGGAGAGAAGTGGGGATCAAGGGCTTGGTTCAATGTGTAACTGAGAGGGCTTGGGTGAGACACTCATGAGCCTCAACATGTCAGGCCGCCTTGGGACTTTTGTGGGTTCTTCCAGATCTTTAGTTGTAGTGGGGGTTTTCTATGGACGGACAAGACTCTTCCTCAGCCGAGGTCTCCCTGGGATCCTGATAAATGCTCCCCAAAGCGCTCGAGATTAATCAGAATCAGAAGAATCTTTATTTGCATCAGCCACTAGCCATAGCAATAAAATGTACTGAAGATAGAGGTAAAAAAACTTAACTATAGAAAATACATTTTGGGGGTTTACATCGATAATAAAATAATAGATCTTATTCTAATTGCCCCCGGTTAAAAACCTTGCAGTTTTTGCTGTCACCTTGTTATGTACTGAGTTGAATAGGATCCAGAATGCAGCAGTCTGATTGGTCCACAGGAGCCACCCAATCCAGCTCCAGGTGGAAGTGAATCCGCAACCTGATTGGCCTACAGGAGAATCCCGGAATTAGCCAATCATGTGGGGTCCACTGTGTAAATAATGTATATAAAGCAGACATTCTGGGGGAACTTTCATTCCCCCTCACCACTATGAGCTGAATAAAGGTAAAGGTACCCCTGCCCATACGGGCCAGTCGTGTCCGACTCTAGGGTTGTGCGCTCATCTCACTTAAGAGGCCGGGAGCCAGCGCTGTACGAAGACACTCCCGGGTCACGTGGCCAGCGTGATGAAGCTGCTCTGGCGAGCCAGCACCAGCGCAGCACACCGAAACGCCGTTTTACCTTCCCACTAGAAAGTGGTCCCTATTTATCTACTTGCACTTAGGGGTGCTTTCGAACTGCTAGGTGGGCAGGAGCTGGGACCGAAAGACGGGAGCTCACCCCGCCGCAGGGATTTGAACCGCCGACCATACGATCGGCAAGTCCTAGGCACTGAGGTTTTACCCACAGCGCCACCCGCGTTCATGAGCTGAATAAAGAGCATGAAATCCACTCTCGACTCCGAGTATATTTCACTGGCGACGAGGATGGGATCCTGCTGAACTGACCGCCACACACAGCACCGCCACCTGTCGCACCGCTGCCTCGCAAGGCTTCAGCAGTACGCAGCAGTACAGTGGTACCTCGGGTTAAGTACTTAATTCGTTCCGGAGGTCTGTTCTTAACCTGAAACTGTTCTTAACCTGAGCACGATTTCTGTTCTCATCCTGAAGCAAAGTTCTTAACCCGAGGTACTATTTCTGGGTTAGCGGAGTCTGTAACCTGAAGCATCTGTAACCTGAAGCGTATGTAACCCGAGGTACCACTGTAAAAGAAAGAGTCCCAAACAGGACAAAGGCTCCCAGGATAGCGACCTGTTGGATGCTGCACACTGAAAACGCAGCCAGTGGAGGCTAGCAATACAAACGCAGCATAGGAGTGGGCACAGCATAGCTGTCAACCTTTCCCTTTTCTTGCGAGGAATCCTATTCAGAATAAGGGAATTTCCCCCACCCCACCCATCTTCCCTCCCTCCACCCCTTTTTTTTCCTCTCCCCCTAATGTCTCAACAAATGAAACGGATTTGTAAAAATGTTACATGGAAAAAATACGAGAGACATTACACATACTTCTGTAAAACAAGAAAATCTTTAATAAAAAAAAAATACTCAAAAAGGGGAAACGTTGACAGCTATGGGGCACAGTTGTGTGAAACAAAGCACATGAAATAAAGCCACAGAGAGTTTTTGTCTCGAGCCACGCGTGCAGTCCTCCTCATTTAACCCTGGGGCAAACCGAGGCTTCGCACGCAACGCACGTGGCAACCCAGCCACGCGCACTTAAGAGCGGCTGAGAGGAAGAGAACCCGAGGAACTTCCAAGGGCAGCCGCGCATGCGCCACTTTAAAAGGAAGAGACCTCGCTGGCGGAAAGCCTTTCTCTCCGCGCGCATGCGTAGCTCCGCCCTGAGGAAAAAGCCGTTGCCTTGGCTGCGAGCCGCGCTTTCCTCGCCCCGCCCACAGTCGCGGTTCTGAGGCGGCGGTTGGCGGCTCGCGCGGACGGCCTTCTCCTCCCACCCCAATCCCCAGTTTAGCCAATGGGCCGTTGAATGTCTGTCAGGGGCCGCTTTCGTTTCCCGGCGAGAGGGAGTCCAGTCGGCCGGCGGCTGCGCCCCCCGAGAGCCCCGCCGCCCCGCTTCCCTTCCCCCGGCCTCTGCCGACAGGGATGAAGCGGCTGAAGGGGATCTTGAGGCTCAAGAAGAGGCGGGCGGCGGAGCAGCAGCCGTCGGCGGCGGCGGCGTCTAGCGAAGCGGGCGGCGAGGTTGCCGTGTCCGCCTGCGCCTCGTGCCTCGCCAGCGATGGCGCCTACGTGGTGCGGAAGAAAGAGTTGGGCCAGCTGCACCGGGCAGCGGCCGAAGGGAGCCTGGGCGACGTGCAGCGGCTCGTGCAGAGGCACGACATCAACGAGCCGGATAAGGACTCCAGGTGATGAGGGAGAGCCGCGGAAAAGGCGCCCCCCCCCCCGAATCTGAGCCGGAGGAGGATTCTTGGCATTTTATTATCATTATCATTATTGTTGTTGTTTCGGGAATATAGCGCCTCCTCCTCCTCCTCCTACACGATTTGGCTCTCAGCTTGGTCTGCTGCTGCTTCCTTTGAAGATACAGTGGTACCTCGGGTTACATACGCTTCAGGTTACATATACTTCAGGTTACAGACTCCGCTAATCCAGAAATAGTACCTCGGGTTAAGAACTTTGCTTCAGGATGAGAACAGAAATTGTGCTCCTGCGGCAGCGGGAGGCCCCATTAGCTAAAGTGCTTCAGGTTAACAGTTTCAGGTTAAGAATGGACCTCCGGAACGAATTAAGTACTTAACCCGATGTACCACTGTACAGTCACTCCACTGTATCTTCACAGTAGCCCTGTGAGGTAGGCCAAGTCGAGAGTGAGTGAGTGAGTGACAGTACCCCAAAGCAAGGAATTCAGTCCCCTCCTTGGTCGGTGCCTGGCCCTGAACCCACTGCATTCTCATCCTGAATGCCACAGATTGCTTTTTCAATGGTTCAAAGATCCATAATAGTAATAATAATAATTTATTATTTGTACCCCGCCCATCTGGCTGGGTTTCCCCAGACACTCTGGGCAGCATCCAACAAAAACCAAAAATACACTAAAATGTCACACATTAAAAACTTCCCTGAACAGGGCTGCCTTCGGATGTCTTCTGAATGTCAGATAGTTATTTATCTCTTTGACATCTGATGGGAGAGCGTTCCACAGAGCGGGTGCCACTACCAAGAAGGCCCTCTGCCTGGTTCCCTGTAGCTTTGCTTCTCACAGTGAGGGAACCGCCAGAAGGCCCTCGGCGCTGGACCTCAGCGTCCGGGCAGAACGATGGGGGTGGAGATGCTCCTTCGGGTATACTGGGCCAAGGCTGTTTAGGGCTTTAAAGGTCAACACCAACACTTTAAATTGTGCTCAGAAATGTACTGGAGCCAGCTCCTAGGGGTTGAGGTCCCTTCGCCCCCCCTAAAATATTTGAGGGGGCCAGTCCTCGTCTCCCCAATACTTTATTCAAGTTGGCACCAATTGAAGGAATGCCAGGTGATATAAGCAACAGTCACTGTATCTTCACAGTAGTCCTATGAGGTAGGCCAAGTCAAGAGAGAGAGTGAGTGATAGTACCTCCTAAGCAAGGAATTCAGTTCCCTCCTTGGTTGGTGCCTGGCCCTGAACCCTGTGCATCCCCATCCTGGACGCCGGAGCACTTTTTCAGTGGTTCAAAGATCCGTAGGAGCCAACTCCTAAGGGCTGAGGTCACTTTGCCCCCCCCCATAAAATATTCGAGGGGGCCAGCCCCAAGTTGCTGGGCATGGCTATTCAAGTGATGTGTGTGCACCATGTCTTGCTGACTGATTATGCGGGGTGGGGCTTACCTGTTGTCGTCCAATATTTTATTCAAGTTGACACCCCTGGAAGGAGGGCAGGGTGATATACGCAGCAGTCACTCCGCTGTATCTTCACAGTAGCCCTGTGAGGTAGGCTAAGTTGAGAAGGGGGGCAGTACCCCTAAGCAACGAATTCGGGCACCACCTTGGTCGGTTCCTGACCCTGAACCCACTGCATCCTGGACGCCGGAGCACTTTTTCAGTGGTTCACTTGTGTCCAAAGAGCCATAGGAGCCAACTCCTAGGGGCCAAGGTCCCTTCGAGCCATCCCAATAAAATATTTGAGAAGGCCGCCCCCCAAGTTGAGGGGCATTGCCATTCAAATGTGTATGTGTGCTGCATCATGTGATCTGTTATGCGGGGCACAGCTTTCCTCCCCCCGCCGAAAATATTTTATTTAAGTTGGCACCCCTGCAAATATCACATAACGCCTTTGGATGCTTAAAATCTGGATTTAGGGTGGGTCGGGCAGTTCCCTCGCACAGGGTGCTGAACTGAGGGGGTGCAAAATTGAGAAGATTTGTGATTGGGAATATTTATTAGGGGGCGCCAAATTTTGGGCTCACACAGGAGGCCATATTATGAAAGAGTACCAAAGTCTGCCCCTAACATTACATGAATAGGAGCATAGCTAAACTATGTGTCTTAAAAAGCAGCGGCTAAAGATGCTTCTGAGTAGGAAATAATTGGTCATTTGGATGATGTTTCCCTTACAGGGTAGAATGCAGGGATTGTGTAAAGCAGTCTTGGAGTCTTCAGCCCCTTCAGTACAGTGGTACCTCAGGTTACATACGCTTCAGGTTACATATGCTTCAGGTTACACATTCCGCTAACCCAGAAATAGTGCTTCAGGTTAAGAACTTTGCTTCAGGATGAGAACAGAAATCGTGCTCCGGCGACGCAGCGGCTGCAGGAGGCCCCATTAGCTAAAGTGGTGCTTCAGGTTAAGAACAGTTTCAGGTTAAGTACAGACCTCCAGAACGAATTAAGTACTTAACCCCAGGTACCACTGTACATTCCTTGGGGTTGTTCTTGCCTCACTATTTTCAGGCACCTGTTAACTTCTTGCAACTTTTTACTCAATAAAAAAATAGTGTAAATAATGCACTAATATTGACCACGAGAAACAGTAGGTGTGGGGAGTCTTTATTAAGTTGTGACCATACTTATCCCATGAAGTTTAATAACTGTGTCAATCAATAATCTCTCAGGCTTTACTTTTAGGGTTGTTGTGAGGGGGAAATGGGCAAAACCAAAAGTATAAGATAACAAATATTAAGTCAAATAACACATAGGAAAAAACTCTTGCTGTTCTGAGTGATGTATTGATTGTACTCAATGGTATGCCTTCCAGAACACCTTTGCATCTTGCCTGTGCCGGTGGATATACAGATATTGTTGCTTTCTTGGTAGGCAACAAATGCCAACTAAATTTCCGTGATAATGAAGGGAAAACTCCATTAATGAAGGTATGTATGAAACAGTAATACAATACCACATTCTATAAATGCCATATCTAGTTGAAAATACCAGTTTACTACCACTTTTTTTTGTTAATGACAACCATCAATAAGTTAATTATTATAAAGTTAAAGTTATTGCTTCATGTTTCATTAAAGTCCGACAGCATTAAATATTTGTTTGTATTAACATCATTTGTGGACCTAATTTCCTTTCTTTAATTGTTGCAGGCTGTACAATGCCAGCAGGAATTTTGTGCAATTTATCTGCTTGAGAACGGAGCAGACCCTAATATTGTGGATGCTCACAGTAATACTGCCCTCCACTTTGCTGCTGCTAATTCTGGTGTAGCTATTACAAAACATCTCCTTAAATATAATGCTGATATTGAAGCACAGAATGAGGTAAAGTAAAATTAGCTGACTACCATAAAATAATTTTTGCTTCTGAATGCTCTTTTGAATGTTAAAATAGTTTATTGAAGAAAAATAATTTTGCTTATGTTGTCAACTTGCATGCAACTTGTCTTTTGTGGCAAGAGAACATTGTGATGAGTAACTTTTGTAGATTACCCACTCGCCCCCAATCTACAAGTGCAACATGTACAATTTACCAAGCATTCATGTGAAAGCATAGCATGCTGGTTCTGGGTTGAGTACTATAGTATTCAAATGATTCCCCCTCTGTGGTAACAGGAAGGAGAAGAGAGAGACCTACTCAGAGTAATTAGGGAGTGGCACTGCCCTGTCCTGCCGTTGGTTACTGAAGTGGGAAGAGAGTAATTCAAAGAAGCCTGAAGCCATCCTATGTGCTTTTAGCACCTTGTATAGTACTAGTTTGGGTGCACAAAGCCCTAGAGGCCTTTCTTAAGGCAGTATTCTTCAATGAGACCTGTGAGTATAGGGTGGTATATAAATTTTAATTATAATATAATATAATATAATATAATATAATATAATATAATATAATAATATAGCTGGGAACCTTATGTTATGTTATGTTATGTTATGTTATGTTATGTTATGTTATATTATATGGTTCCCAGCTGTGTTGGACTTCAATTTCGGTCGTCTCTAGACAGCTTAGCAAGCTGTTGGGGATGGTGGGAGTTGTAGTTCAACAATATCTGAGAACTCTGGATTGAAGAACACTGTCTAAAGGAGCTCCCCTCACCTTCAGACTTGTTCTCCCACCTTACTTTGTGCAAGCTCTGTTGGAGGCAGACAACTTTGGTCCACACACAAATTCCTCAAGTTCTATGGAAAACAGTAAATACGTGTGTATTGCAAATTTTGTCTGCTAATTCAGTTTTATGCTTACAGGATGGGAATACTCCTCTAATTGTTGCTGTCACAGAAAACAATCGAGAAACTGTAGAGTTTCTTTTGGAAGAAGGAGCTTCTGTAAATGCCACAGATAACTCAGGAAGGTACAGTCTGATTCATTTATCTGATCTAAAGACTTAAGGACTATTTCTAAAGAAAACTGTTGTAGTTTCTGTCCTAGGAACTGTAATATATGAAGAGGCTATGGGTTGTATGCAAGAAAGTAATTGCACTTGCAGAACTACTTCTACTCTTGCAACAAAAGTTCTCCCACCATGTGCCCAGTAGACCCCCCCTGCAATCTGCTTTGTAGGTTCCTCCAACCTTTTGGAGCGGGTTTGAGGTAGGGTCTGTTCTTAATAATCACCAGCTCTTCATGTTTTTATTCTTGCAGTAGAATTTCACAACCTTTAACTAGTATGCTAATGTGGACAAAGGCTGCTGCAGTGAATAGACTTTGAGTCTCATTCTGAAATGTTGCTTTGCTGGTGTAACAATATAGTAGCCTAATCTTGACCAAAAAAAGAGAGTATCTGTATAGACCTTCCTTCCTGTGCTGCCCACCCTTTCATGTTCCTGCTTTCTTCTTGACTCTCATTTCCATGCTTCCTACTCCGTCCTTTTTGGCAACCTGGTTTACACCTCCATTTATACCTTCACCCCAGTCTTGTAATGTGCTCTTTGTGGGGCTTCCCTTGTGCCTGATTCGGAAGCTGCATTTAGTGCAGAATGGTGCAGCACAGTTGCTGACAGGAGTGAGACCTTGTCAGTATATAACACCTGTGCTCAGATTCACACTGGTTGCTGATTTGTTCAAGCCATTACTATTAGTATATAAAGCCCTTAAGAACTTGGGACCAATTCACCTGCAAGATCGCCTTACCTCATGTATGCCCACTTGACCAGTTTGATTGGTGGAATCAGCACTAATACAGGTGCCACATAATACACGTTCCACATTTGTAAGAAATCAGTCTTTTGGTGTGGCAGCACCTGCACGTTGGAACTCCCTGCCTATTAGTATCAGGCAGGAGCCTTCAGAGTGCCCACCCCGAAACACCAGATTCTGTGAGTATGCCCTGACTACTAGTGGCAGGGATTCCACTAGTGGTAGCTTACACCTGTGCTGGATTTAGATAGGCACAGTTGAGAGTTCTGCAACACTGGTCCCACTCACTACTGGCAGAGTTTAACAAAGATGGGTGGAGGGATGCCTTGCCTTATCTACATTATTTCCAGTGTAGCAGAACTTGGTTTGTATTGTTCTGTTAACCAGCAGTGGGTAGAAGATCTAAGTTAAATTCATCAATAAAATTCAGCCGTTCTTGCCCTTTCTGTTTCAGAACTCCACTGTTGACTGCTGCTTCTGAAAAAAACCGTGATTTAACAAACATTCTTCTTCGACATGGCTCAGATGTTTTTCATAGAGATGGAAGTGGATGGTCAACAAAGGATTACGCTCTGAATAGCGGAGATCCCATGTAAGCTTTTATTTCTAACATTTAAGATTATTCATTGACCATAAAATAAATAGGTTGAATTTTTTCAGTCATTGCTGGAATGAAAATATCTATTTATTTAGCTACGTGTGTGTGTGTGTGTGTGTGCGCACACACACACACACACACAAATAAATAAATGGATCAACTGTTATGTGAGAGTGGATCGTTAGAAAGTCAAAGACCCTTTCAAAAGTTAGAGTTTTACTCCTTGAGTTGATGTAAAACTGTTCTTCTGGTTTGAGGTATGTTCTTATTCTCTTCATGAAGAATCAATTGTTTGTATTGTCATGATTTGTAAAAATTATCTCACTTCTACCCCTTAGTCTTCTACAATATGTATCTGAATTTTCTAACTACAAAAATAAAGAACAGAGCTCTGGAGATCAAAAAGTCTTAACTTTATTGAGCAGCCCAGAAAAACCTGGATATTCTGGCATGTTGGGCGCACCAGCTACAAACAAAGAAGGTACGATTTTATATACTAAAAAATTTATATACTAAAACAAAAGAATCTCTCCTTGTTCCGACATGGAATTTATTCAACTGAAGTGATCAGGCAAACTGAAGCTACCCTTTCTATGTTTCAAGTACCCAACTGGCAACTAATAATAATCACAAAATGATGAGAGTTGGAAGGGAATTTGAAGGTCAGTTAGTTTAAACCCTTGTTCATTGGAGAGTAGCCACATTCCTCACGGCTTCTGTGTGCCTTCTCCTAGGGTTTGTTCGAGTTTTCATCCTGAAACAAGCCTGTACAGTATGTTAATATAGTGCAGAATGAGTGTGTGTGCGTCTGAGGATTTCTTAAAGTTTATGGCACCTGAAGAATTCAGGCTTTAGGCTACTGAGTTACACTGTAGCTATATGCAAACTTAGTTAAATGTATGCCATATTTGAGGGGCTAGAATAGAACAGCTTCTATAATATTGCAGTTATTTTGTGTTGTTGGCTGCTTAGTAAAAAATATCGCATTTAAGCATTTAAGTTTATACACACACTTTATAGAAGTAATTAATAAGTATTTGTCCTCTTAAACCCTCATTGTAATCCTGAACTTAATCATAATATCTCCCCCAATGGGGAAAGGGGGTTGGGACTTGGGAAGGGGGGGTCATTTTGGAGAGAAGCAAATTCCATGACAAGGTACAAGAATCAAAACAGCAGTACACTAGGATTACTTTTTTGTTCTTCGTGGGGTGTCTGCTTATTAAAATAAAAAGAAGTTCAGTATCTTGCAAGGAAGGTTCACTCTTTGATCCGCAGACTTAGTGTGTGTGTATATTTACAGAGCTAGGCCCTGATACGAAAAATGATTGCCACAATGCTGCTTTGAAACATTATATACCTACCTTCATGTGAGACATCATGCTGCAGCTAGTGCAACACATCCTGCCTATTCACTTATTTAATGGGTTAAAAGGAAAGATGAGTTACAAGGTCACTTCTAGCTCTGTCATTCTGTGTGGAGGGTATTGCTTGCAAGTTCAGTAGCTTTGGTTGCATGATGGATTCAGTTGCATTTTCTGGTGTACAGAGAAGTCTGAGGCTTAAGTCTACCCCCCTGCCACTGAAAGCTTTAAGGTAGTGGTGAAACTTCAACTAACCAAAACATATGATACCATGCCATATTCATATTGCCTAAATAAAACATTGCTAAGGATGTGGCCCATAGCAGTTGTAACTTCCCATCATTTTGGAGCTTAAGTGACCATGGAAATCCCTAAACATAGCATGTTAAACTGAAAGGGGTGATCTTTTTTGGGGGGGGACATCAAAACTTTGCTTCAGCCAGCATTTCATCTCATATCTTTGTGCTGTCACTTCTGCAGTAGAAACCTAAGAGTCTTGGTTATTGACTTCTAGTAATATTGTAAATTGCTTCAGGATCCCTCATGGGAAGTGATTCATATATTAAATAATGATGATGATAGTAATAATAACGTCTCTGAATGCACTGTGGAATGAGAGATGGCAGCTTAATTTCTGGCTGCATATCGAGCTTGCCAGCAGCATTCAATTTGAACAACAGCCCTGGGTTCTCAATAGTGGTATCAAAACAGCCAAATGAACAGTGCTCATAGAAAGTAGCTATAAGCTGGTGGAATCTAGGTTGGATACGTATTTTTTTAACCATAATTATCATAGTATAAACCAGGGGTAGGGAATCTTTTTGGGTCCAAGGGTTGCGTTTTCTAATGTCTAAGCTCCCAGGGGCTGCATATCAGCCATGGTCAGGACTAACATAAAAAAGTGGATGAGTCCCCTGGCACACTCTTATACATATGCAAATTGCTGCATATTCACAAGTAACATGTTCATAACACTCATTCAATCATGCCCACAGCCCTTATACACAGAGAGAGAGATGCACATACACATTTAGACTTACTGTCAACACCCTCTTTACAGTTAGTTAATCTTTCCCTCTTCATCTGTAATCTCAACAAGGATCCTCACACCCTTGCACAGTAATTGGGCTTAAAAATGCTGTTTCGTTGGAGGCATTGAAATACTTCCCCGCCCCCATCAAGCCTAATTAAATGCTGCATGGGATGAATATTTGATGGCATTGCAGAACATGTGGAGGGTTACGTTTTTCCTTCTCGGCTCTCCTTTTGCTGCACATCTTCCCCTCCTTCCTCAGCAGTTGGGTTTATTTTTTTAAAAAACCTTCTGTTGCTCCTAATGGAACGAGCTCAATTGTTGTGCAGGGGGCTGTTGGGGGACAGACGTTTGTTTCTGCATCCTACTGTCCAGGGATCCTTTACATTTACCTTTTTTACATATATGTGTGTGTGTGTGTGTGTATGCCTCATGTGCCCCTTAATCCTGTTTTAACTGTTTAGTTTGGTGTTTTCCAACTGTTAAAATTACATTTTCATTTCTTAGGAAACACTGATACAATGTAAGTCTTTCCTTCAACATTGTCACTTTTTTTTAAGGAATGATCAGGAAGCTTCCTGCCTGTATATATAACAAAAGTGAATACTAAAGTGTCTCTTCTTAATTGATGTTTATAAATTGCTCTAGAGTAAGTTTGTAGCATGAGAGAATTTATTTCGGTTGTTGTAACATACCGAAATGCTGGAAGGGTCAGGAGGATTAGCTAGGCCCACCCGCTTTGTATCCTGAGAAGCTGCAATCCTATACAGTGCTCATTTAACTGGAAGTGAGCCACATTTATCTCAGCTGGACTTATCTTAGAAGTGCCTCCTGAGAAATAAGACAAGAATGTTAGCATATTCTTCTCAATACATTAATCTATGTAATCTACCAAAATATGTAAGGAGAAAAAAAGTGCTTTCACACTTGTTAAGACCAGCTCCAGATTCGCAGGCAAATAATGCTAAATGGAATGGAAAACTTTCATGCCCTGTATTGGTAGCCAGTCTACTTAGGGGGGGGAGGATCATATCTATTAATGTGGTGATCAGGTGCTGTATTCCCAAGCAGAGAACTAAATGTATCAGTTACACCTTTCCAAACTACATTTTTTATCTCTAGTTGTGTCTTTGATCTTTTATGAGAAGTGGGGAAATCCAAATATCTGAGTGTGGGAGAGAGTTGGATGATTTGCCTTTCTTGAACTTGAATTGGTGGTTTGTTTTTCATTGCAGCATACTCATTACATTGAATAACTTGTTAGTTTATATGTGTATTTTTGTTTCTATATTTGTAATTGTTTTATGAATTCACTGTTTTTATCTATTCCTTCCATGCCTTGGCCTAAATAGATAGACAAGTGCACCTGACACTCAGTCAAACAGCAGGAGATTCAGGGAAAGGTATAACAGTCTCCAAGGGTCAAATATGTAATGATTCATTTAGATTTAGATTTTTAATTCAGATTCCCTGCTTTGGTTTGTGCTTACTGCTTTTAGAAAATCCGTAGTATATAGTTCAATTGTAGCAAGCTGATGTGGAAATAATGGCCAAACTAGATGATGGGTTTGTGTGTGTCAGGATTGAGAAATATGACAACCAAGGATGGATGCTTAAATCCTCTCCCCCTCCCATAGTTGTCGTCCCCCCCCCCATTCTTTTCCTCCTGAGGAAGAAGTTGCTATAAGCATCAGTTTTATCTTTCATGGACTTGGGTCTGATCAACATCCCGATATCTGCAATTTGTTTTAAAATGCAGAAATGTGAAATGCAATTTCTCATTTTACCTATCATCTAATTTAGCCCTTGGTATCTTGTTCTCTTCAAGAGTGAATGATTTAGAAGCTATTGTTGCTGTTCTGTACTACTTGGATCCACTGTACGCTAGAGCTCCCATTGTACACATGATGGGATTGTCTAAGCTTCACAGAGAATGTTCCTCAGGCAGTGAGGAACTTCTCATCCATAGGGTAATGGCCTTGCTTAACTAGCGCTCACAGTGTTACATGTCAGCAGAGGTAATTTGGATGAGTGAATTGTATCTTTGGTCTCTGAAAGTTGTTTCTCCGTGCACTATCCAGTGTTAGGATGTGGGCTGTTTCTTCTGTGTAGCTTCTCATTCCTTTTCAGCCTGTTATAGGAAGTGACATTCTTCAATCTCCTTGATTTATCTATTGAGAGAGGGGAGAGAATTTCCAGAGTTCTCATGCATGATGAACAGGCTCAGAAGCTTTCTTTGCAGAGAGCTGGAAATTTAGGAAAAGTACTTTGCATTTCCTACCCACCCCCTGCCCCTGAAACAAGTAATTTTGGAAGACAATAGGGCTGACAATGGTAGAACTTTCATAAACAAGAACTTTTTGAGCTTTGGATAACTCTTGCGGAAAGCTCTGATTTCTTTTCCCTCAGAATTTCCCCAAAAGGCTCAGAAAGACCCAGCCATTTGGAATTGAGATAGTGTGAGTGCTCAAAATTACTCCCAACATGGAAGGTGGCTTGTGTGCTTGTTTTATTGATTGATTTTTAAAAGAAAATTCTGACCTGCCTTTCAACAAGGCCCCAAATACACATCGAGGCATCTGTGAATGTGAAACTTTCTTGTACTTTGGCTTTAAAGACAACTTCACAATTAAAATAAAGATATGCCTATGGAGCCATTTTTTTTACATTGATGCAATCAAAAAGCCATGACTTGAAAAGGAGTTGTGTTTACATAGGTCCTTCTATTTATGCACACTTGTAGCCATGTATATCGTTGATTGTGGATTTGTATGCTAAATGGTCATGCATTTCCACCATTCCCAATACCATAGGGAGTGATAAGCTTTACAATGGGGGAATCTTAGATGCATGCTTGCTGTTTTTTATTTAGCTAGTGAACATGTACAGAAGTGCACAAGGCAGTTATTTTCAGATTTTTAAAGATAATTTATCTTTGTACCTTGATATCTTTAGAGATTTGTACAGTTTAAAACATTTTAACTGAAATTGTTCCTTAAAGTTTATTCATTGTCTTGATTTTTATGTTTTTATTGTGCATGCTTTTTAAACAGTTATTGATGACCATTCCTTTGGAGATTCATTCAGGTAAGATTTTACATTTGCTTTTGATAAAATTAGTTCTACAAAACTGGATTTTTATTCTGATTTTTAAATGTTCATTTCAGAGATTCTGGAAAAGCAGATAATGACAGCTGGATTTCTTCAGAAGAAGAAGATTTTAGTCCTAAGGTATGTTATAACTTGCAGAAGTCAGTTGAACCATCCTGATAGACTTGGGTCCACCATCTGCTATTGGTACTACACCATACCTCAACCAGGGTGATCAGTGTTTTTTGTTCGCCTGTGAGTTTTCCCCTGTTTGCAAACTCTAACTCCAGCGATGTACATATTTTAAGTACACTTAATTAATATATTGATTATTAAACCCCAGATTGATTGTTCTTATTGTTTATGTAGAGAATTATGCAGAAATTAGGGTTTAAATAGGCTGGCTTTTTGCCATAATAAACACATTGGTTGATTGATTGATCCATTGATTGATTGATAACTCCAGTGATGGGTCATTATGTAAAAGTCTTGGAGCTTTCTTCACCCACTGCTGAGAAAGAAACAACATAATGTGGCCTTGTTAAAAATAGAATATGTGAAGTGTTGCTTCAGCTAAATCTTAACATGCTTAAATTTTGTTTCCAGAAACCAGAGAAACCAAGTTTGGCTCAGATAATGAATCTTTCCCAGCAAATCAAGAAAAATGGTAAGTTGCCTGTAAAACAGGTTTCTTATAACTTGCTTGAGCAATTTTTAAAAATAATTATTTCTCCTGTGTTTAATTTTGTGTGTGTGTTTGTATTTTGATGTAGTAGATGAGAAAAGTAGCATTATCAGAGCAGAACCTATAGCCATTTCACAACAGAATAAATCAGATTCTGAAGCTGAAGATCTGAGAAAGTCCCTTCCTAAGCCTTTGTTCCAAGTTCAGCCCTTTCCTCATCCTGTTCTGTCCTCACCCGGCTCCTTTTCAAAGTGTTCCCAGATGACTCCCAAACTGGACCCTAAGCAGGTAAAAAAATTAATTTACAAGTTTCAATCTATCATATGTTTATCATCTGTATTTTTATACCCACTTATGTTTGTATAAAGACAATGAAAATAATCAGTCATCAAAAGAAAATATAAAAGCAGTATCCATTAATTCCCCAAAGCAAGAATTGAATGAGCCAAATGATTCTTCAATCATTGAAGAGGAAGAATGTGAGGAGGAGGAGGAGGAGGAGGAGGAGGAAGAGGAGGAGGAGGATGACGAAGAAGAAGAAGAAGAAGAGGAGGAGGAGGAGGAGGAAGAGGAAGAGGAAGAAGACATGGAAGAGGAGGAAGAAGAGGAAGGAGAGGAGGAGGATGAAGAGGGGATAAAGGCAGAAATGGAAGATAACTTCAGTGAAGAAAAGGAGAATAATTTTAGTGAAGAAAACCTAGAAGAAAGTTTGGGCAAGATAGAAAATGTGAAAGGGGAATATTTTCAAAAACCAGAAGGAAGAAAATCTATTGCATCCAGTGAGCTTAAGCAGGAGGAAAATGCTTCTAATAGTAATAGTGAAATAGATTTACAAAGCGAAGGACTGAAAGAATCTGTTGGCGTCCCTGGGTCTTTTATTGATGGGCAACATGAGCGTTCAGATGAAAATAGAGCTATTAGCAGTATAAATAATGAACTGTCCAATTGTTCATTTGAAAAAGAAAAAAGTTCTAAATATGAAGACCAATTCCAAGAAAATGAGAAAAACACCGATATTTCACATGAGAGCCCCAAAAAAGTTTTCCCCTCATCTGAGATTTTTGAAGCAACCAAAGATTGTACAAAAGATGCATGTTCATCTCCCTCAAACAGTTGCCATGATAACGGGGTAGATTCAAACATGGGTGATGACATTGAAAACGTTGATGATCCTGAGTCTGAGACAGAACTTGAAAAACACAAATCTAGAAAACAGAATTCCAAGGATGCTGATCTTTTGGATAATCAAGATATTGGAGAAGAACAGTACATGGATTCAGAAGAACTGGAAGAAGCAGTATGTGAACCACTAGTTCAGAAAAGTGAGAATATTGAGGAAGAAAATCTAAAAGCTTTTCAACCTAGTGCCAAAGTAAGTAAATATAAAATGATGGAAAAAATCATGTAGTAAAGCAAAAAATGAAAGGTAAAGATGAACTTCAGCGAAGGAATCTGCATTGTGAATTAAAGGTAAAATCTATAGTTTCATATTAGCCACCCTGTCATTTTTTGTATAACTGCCATTGGATTACTGCAGGGATAGTCAGCATGGCTAACAGCTAGGGGTGAAGGGAGCTGTAGTCCTAAACAGATTTAAGATGGCTCATTGGCTACCTCTGAACTAGTATAATGCATTTTATAAATGACTGCCCTTAAAAATTACTTGGGAACTGCAGTTGGTTCAGAACATAGTAGTGTAATGGTTAGTGCTAGCTTTATTGTATTTCATCAATGCTACAAAATCTGCATAGGCTACCTTTGCATAGGCTACCTGCATAGGGACTAGGATACAAGAAGGACAGCTATGAGCATGCACAGTCTTTAAGAACTTCTTCATAAATCCGTCTTAGGGTGCCTACTCTTTTCTAGTTGGTAATTACTGTTTTTTAATTGTGAACTGCTTTCATAAGTCCATAGAGGAAAAGCACATAGAATTACAACGATAACGGATCAGTAATGATTTATGGTTAATAAAACAATGGAACTGTAGTTAAAAATAAGTAAACAATGACAACAGTGGGGAATCTCTAGCCTACAGGCCTATAATTAAGCCCAGCAGGTTTCCCCAAACCATGCCAACCTGCCACACACCTCATATTATATCTGATGTCAGGTGCGGGCAGGTAAAGGTGTGGCTGCAAATGAACATTCAAGAGTTCTTAATTGTTCCTTGGCAAGTAGGGCTCACTGACAACACCAATCAGCTGACTGGTTTCTGAGAGAACCCTCTTCAGAGTTCTTAGTGATTGACAGATTGATGGACATTTCTCCCCCTATAATACATTGGCAGCAGTCTGAAGCAAGATGTTTCAGATAAAAAGCCATTCTTAGTGTCTCCCACAAGAGGACCCTAGAGTGGTATTTTTAACTTTACAACACAATCCTATATGTACATACTCAGAAGTAAGTATTTTGTTCAGTGGAGCTTACTCCCAGGTAAGTAGTACAGGACTTCTCCCTTAAATCTTACAAAATTTATTTGTATGTAGATTAAACAATAAGTGGGAAATTTAATTTTAAAATTAGTACATTCTTTGCATTAGGGAGAATCTTCAGAGGAAGATGCTGAGAAAGATGACGACGAAGAGAAAGATGGGGGGAAATCAGATGTTGTCGATAAAAAAAGGATACATATCGGTAGCCCTCAGAATCCCCTACAAGATGGTGCTGTTAAAAAGGGTACAAAACTCAAATTTTCTTTATCCATATCACAGATTATAATGTTAATATCATTTTGGAATTTCGTTTCGGTCACTCGCATAGTTAAAATCTGAAATACAGTGACTTGTTGCAAGCATTGGTCTCAGTCTGCCCTCAGACAGCCTTTACCTGTGTACCTGCCTACCTCTAACCCCATGGTTCCCAATGTGGGGCACACGCACCACAGGGGGGCAATTTGATTTTTAAGGGGGGCAATTTGGAAGCTTGTTTAGACCAAGTTAATGGCCTTTTAGGCTTCCTCCACGTGAATAGGAGTTCACTTTTTGAATAATAAGAATTCTATGTCACCGGGGGGGGGGTGTGCATCAGGATTTTAGAGATGCTTAGGTGGGGCATGGCCAAAAAAAGGTTGGGAAACACTGCTCTAACCTGTCCAGGGGATGGCATTGGCTGTCAGCTTCTGCCACCTTGTGTTGCTGTTGTAGAACTCAGCAGGAAGGAGAATGGGAACACAATAAGAATTAGTTGACTGCTTTCAATTCAGTTTAGTTCCACCGACTGTTGGTTGACCTGTCCATTGCCCAACCAGCCACTACTGGTTGCAAGTATCAGCAAGTCAGCAGAAAAGCGTATTTATTTGTGTGCTAATGCTACTATAACAGCATAATCCTATGCATGTTCTCCTCTAAGACAGTGTACTCCCACTCAAGAGAGCCAGTGTGGTGTAGTGGTTAAGAGCGGTAGTCTCGTAATCTGGGGAACCGGGTTCGCGTCTCCGCTCCTCCACATGCAGCTGCTGGGTGACCTTGGGCCAGTCACACTTCTTTGAAGTCTCTCAGCCCCACTCACCTCACAGAGTGTTTGTTGTGGGGAGGAAGGGAAAGGCGAATGTTAGCCGCTTTGAGACTCCTTAAAGGGAGTGAAAGGCGGGATATCAAATCCAAACTCTTCTTCTTCTTCTTCTTCAACCATCTTGGTCAGCTCAAAGTGTTCCAGCATCAAAATAAGGATTCATAGACATGGTGACACTCTCCAAATGTCTTTGGCATATGTATTTTATCCTAAAATGCTCTGACCACCCCCCTTGTCTGTCGTATGGCTATGCACTCTCAATGTTCACCCACTTAGATCATAAACATTTTCCTACTCATCCCTGATTTGTTCTGAACCAGGTGCTGCTTATTTCCTGTCTTTCCTGCTTCAATCCATTTAAAATTTGCTCTGCCTTCTTTTTAATTTTATGTCTTAACTGTCTGGTTCCATCCTGGTTCAAATGGAGTCTTTCCTTTTGGGCAGACCCAGTTTGTCCCAAAATTTTCTCTGGTGCTAAACAAATCCAAAACCCTTTCTTCCAACACCGCTGTCTCATCTGCATGGTTGACCAGTTACAGCCCATTTTGGAGAAATATAACTTGCCATGGTACTCCAATCTCTGGTGACTTCCAGATTGCATTATCCCAATGTATTCTATGTGGGGCTGCCCTTGAATCTACTCAGAAGCTTCAAAATGCAGCAGTCAGATTACTGGCTGGGGTTCCCCTTAGAACTCATATAACCCCAGTTTTAGAAAATAATATTTATTGATAATTTCAGGATTACAAGAAAAATAAAAAACAACAACACTGCAATACAAAAAAAGAGAAAAAAAGAGAAAAACACAAAATATACGACAATACAGTAAAAGAAAAAAAACAAGAAAAAAACAACAACACAAATCCCAAATTGCATATCCATAATTTCCATTTGCTTGTTTCATTGACCTCCTCACACCTCCCTTTTTGTATTCTAGTTTAATAATTATTTCAGCAAATTCTTTCCATCTTTCTCAATTTTTGTTATACAATTTATCTTAACAATTTAACCTAATAATTAACTCAACAAATCCTTTCCATCTTTCCCCATATTCTGTTATTCAAATTATCTTAATTTATTTAACCTTATCTTACCCCTAAGTACCTTAAGACTTAAATCTTAGTTTTCAAATATACATAGCTCCTGATAACATTTCTGCTAGAGTCGTATAATTTCATTCCCACATTTTCCCTAATACTCATTAAGCTGATTCTAAAATAAAAAAATTTCCATTATAAATTCTCTTTCAATCATCATCCAGCGTCTCTTCTTCCTGGTCTCGGGTCGTGTCAGTCCTTACTGTCCATTCCATCTAGTCCATCAACCTGGAAGCCTTATGTCCGAGGCCCTTAAGTCTCTTCCATGTCCCTTCTGCAATTCTTCTTCATCTTGTTTGTGCTTGCCCTTTTCCTTGTCTTTTGTTGGTCTCTGTCTTAGTTTCTTTCCTTTCTCATTGAGGAGTAGGTCTCTGGGGAATTCCAACCCAAAATTGTCTCCATCACCCTTCATCCAGCTCGCCCATTCCCCACAGTCCCACTCCCCACAGTCCTCGATATAATCCAAAATGTATTTGAAATCAAATTTCAAGATCTCTCCAAAGCTAGGAATCTCCTCATCTCCAGACTCCCCTTGGCCCACTCCAACTTCAATCTTCAATAACAGCGGCTTATGCTCCTGTAGGGCCTCGGGTCTCTCCATTTGTACTATTTGAGGTGCAGCCGCATCCTCCTCCATTGTCATCTGCACTTGCCCAGTCAGTACAGATTCATAGATTGGTTCCTGAATGATTTCTGTATCAATGTTCCCTGTTTGTCCACAGTTATTAACCACAACAGTCAAATCCATTTTCTCATTCATCAAGTCCATCTTCTCATGCATCTGTTCCAGCAAAGCATTTGTCTTGCATAGAGCAAGCACCCAGTCTTCCTCCCAGCTCATCTTTGTTCAAGGTCAGAAAAGACTGTTCCCACGGTCTTAATCTCACAGATGTTGGGTCTCAAATATCCTACAGCAACAATCTAGCAAGCTCCCTCTAAGGAGACAAATTATTTGTATCCATATTTTTTTTTTAAGACAAAGGAAAGTTACTTTCATTTTTTCAGATATTTCAGATGTTTTTCAGATATTTTGTTTCTTTAAACTGCAAAAGGCAACATTAGAATCCACTTGTTTCTCTTCATTAGCTATCTGTCAAAGTGTTACGTTCACAGTCAATGAACCTCTCCAACCGTTTCTGTCTCTGACACCCCGTTCCCAGGTTAGAGACGGTGGAAACTTATCCTTCTTCACTCCCTCTCCTGCTAAGGTTAAACAGAGTCCCCCCCTTTTCTCCTGCTTCCAAGGGGGGTTTCAGTAATTCTGAATGAAGGAAATTTAGTCTTTTTTGACAGCTTCCCGGCTTTAGCTTGCAAAATTTTTGCTTTAGTCTATATACAAAAAAGCGGAAGGCGGACTTCCTGTTTGCACCTTCCTGCTTCGATACCAAATTAAACAATTTCTTAATCCAATTTTCCGTTTCTACTCACGGGTACTTGTTTTAAGTCCAATTGTCCACAGGAAAAAGTCAGCGCTCTCTGGCAATGGCTGTGCGGCTTCACTCCGTGAAAGTAGCAGTCAGTTCGTAGCACCGCGCTTCTCACCCCACTTCGCTCCGGAGCCCCTAGATGGGATTCCCCGCGAGTAGGGGGGCGCTTCTGGTGCCCTGCTGAACCCCACGTTCCCAGGCTTCCTCCGCCTGGGATTTCTAGCGGGTCCCCACCTTCGCCGCGGCGGGAAGACCCAGTTTCCACGGAGCCCGTTCCTCCGGTCGGAGGAACTCCGCCATTCACCAATGGCGCTGACCCGGAAGTCCCATATAACCCCAGTTTTAAAGGAGCAGTATTGGTTGCCAGTTTGTTTCCAGACCCAATTAAAGGTGCTCACATTAGTTTTTAAGGTTGTTTAGGCCGCAAATATCAGAAAGAGTGTCACAGTGCAGTTAAACGGATACTGTGATGAAATGAATACTAGTACTTTCTCTAGCCAAGCAAATGCTCAACTCAGCTTTGCTTCTTTGTCACTTGCTGTGATGATTTGTCAGCTGGGGCTGCCCTCTTGCTTGTGGCGGAAAAGTTCTTTTATAGAGAAAAATCAGTTGATATTTTATTTTGTAGCTGCATTGACATTTGGAATGTATGAGGAAGAGGAAGAGGAAGAATCTTCATGGACTTCAAAGGTAGGCTACTTTGCACTACTGACGAGGCTTTCAAAGAAACATTGCTTTTTTGAGCCTCTTCTTGATTTCCTTATATATTATCCCATATGGGGATTGAACTTGCAATCTTGACATTATCAGCACCACACTCTAACCAACTCAGTATGTTCTATACTTTACATACTAACCAAATCATAGTGCATATATGTGAGGGAACAGATCATAAGTAAGCTTTGGAAGGGTAACATTGAATAGGAGAATATGCTTTTGTTAAAAAAAATAATTAAAGTTTTTTTGGTTTACAAAGGTATGCACAATGTGTCTTTTTTCAAGTTACATTTTACATAGGTCAGTTTCATTTGTTGAGACCATGGTAGATGAGTTGCAACCAATGTATAATGGAGAAGCTGCAATACTGAGGTCACCAGTAATGGTCCTAGGAAATGTTTGGCTGCAAGCATTTGACCCTGCTTGAGTGAATTTTATTGTGTGAGAACAATGGGAGATATGTTAATTTCTATATGTAGTATCCGGCATTCAGTCACGAATCTGCTTTACACCATTAAAACATTGGTCCAGCAAACTTCCCACAGTGGAAGAGGGTTTCCTACACTGATCGTCTCACATGAATCTAATTACTTCAGTTAATCATCATAGCTAACGGTCCAATTCAGATGTTTCGTCTTTCTTTTTTGGATTATCTTTGTTGCAGCCAAAGTCTGATAAAGCTAACTTCAAACATGATGCTGATCCTCAGAAGGCAGAAAGCAAAGAAAAGCAAAAATCAGGTAATGCATTCTATGATAAATTATTTGGAGGAAAATACACATTTTGTTTAATTCAGTCATACCTCGGGTTACAAACGCTTCAGGTTGCACATTTTCGGGTTGCGCACCACATTGAACTTGGAAGTACCAGAACAGGTTACGGCGCATGCGCAGAAGTGCTGAATTGTGACCTGCGCGTGCGCAGACACAGCGCTGCAGGTTGCAAACGTGCCTCCTGTATAGATGACGATCGCAACCCGGGCGTCCACTGTATCATTTTCAGCTGACATGCTTTTTATTTTTTCTTCTTTCAGATTTAATGGAAGAACTTGGACTAGATGCTGCAGATGATCTTGAAGGTTCTTAGTTATTTTTATTTGTGTCATGCACTGAAAATACAACAATAAACTATCCTTTGCTTCTGAAGGAAGAACTTAAGGCCACCATAAATTAGCTTAGTCTCTCTCAGGGCAGGTGTCAGGATCAGGTCAGCAATAATTCACAAGGTGTCAAAGACGTTAACTCTTTATTCAAAGAAACAAAACAGCTCAGGCCTGGTGAGCACAGGAATACTTCCCAGTAGGTCTTGCCCTGATGAGGCAGTTGCAAGGATTGAAGGTCCCTGCCTTCTCATAGCTCCCTAAGTCTCCTCCTTCCCCGGGTCCTCCTCAAGCAATCTGAGGCTCCTTTGTCTTGCCCGTCTTTGCTCTGCCTGCTTCATACCTCTCTAGTTCTGGGAGACCAGGGAGGAGGAGAGCTGGTCATAGCGGGAGACTCCCTGGCTTCTTCAGCGTCCTGCTTCATCTCTGCCTCTTGCCCCCCCCCCCCCGCCCGCTTCTGCTTCTGGTCTGTTCTCTGTCATGGACTCTTCCTGCTCACTAAACCATGTTACCTGTTCAGCTTCTGACACCTCATCCTCTCCCTCTGACCACTCATCGTTGTCCCACCAACAATCCCCAGGCTCTAAGCCTTCTTCTCTTGCGGGTTCCCTAGCTGGTTCCTTTCACCACTCCTCTGCATCCAGCCAGTCCATGACACACTGTCAAAAATAAGAGAGAGATTCCCACCATTAAATTCTTGAGAAAAGGCAGGCAATGTGGACTTGGTACATTCTATGCTTCCATATACAAATGTTTCTCTTGTGAGAGGCATGAGCAAGTATTGTAAACAAGATCCTTGCAAAGAGGGCTACCACTGAAATTCCTGATGGAGAGCTGTGGTCATCTAGTTTGCAGAGATGAGTATTTCAACTCTACGGAGCTTTCCTTTGTTCATAATAGGCCATAGATCTTTCTATCCATAAATTGAAAACATATTAGGTAATTTTGTCTGTTTTCTAGAAAAAGTAAATGCTTCATGGCGTTTACTTAAATGCATTTTGAACTTTCTAAAACTATTCTGACTTTATCAGATACATCTGACTGGGATTCTACCAGTAATTCATTGAGGACTGTTCCTTCTGCTAAACCGTTCAGCTCTCTGATGCAAGATGATGCATCTCCACTACAGTTAACTAAAAATACCGGTGTTGCTGGGAGAGCAGAAGAGTTATCTGATGTTCGAACAAGAATTGCTTCAAAAGGTAGTTGGTTTCATTCTTTGCAATATTAAGATCTGCTTATATACCAAAGAGCAGAGAAAATGCCTTACAATTCTATTCACAACTAATTTGATATTTAGTGGGCCCACTTAACAGAGTTGTGGATAGGTTTGAAACTGGGTTAGTTGTTTTAGTTAGTTCTGGTTCTAATCTATGTTGAATAATTAATTTTAGTGCGAGTTGTTATTTAGAGGGACGTCCTAACCACATTTTCCTCCCATTTTTTGGATTACTGCTGGAAATATTCTGTCAGTTCTGAGTGCCCTGGAATGTTATTTGATTACTTGCATTGGAAGTCTGAATACTTCTCAGTTTAGTATAGCTAACTTGTTAGGTTTTTTTTATTAAAAAAAAACCAACCATCAGAAGTGTTTATACTATCTGGGTTTTCTGTGGAGTACAGTGAAACATAGAAATTATAATACACATTTTCATGTAATATTTTACAGATCAATGTAATGAAAAAGAAGGCATGAAAGAATTAGAAAAAGATGAGAACAAGGTAAGTACTTGAAAACAGTACACAAGTACAAATGAAAACATTTGAATACTGAAACTGAATATTCTTTCTTACGTGACTGCAATAATCCTTAAGATTATAATTTTTTTTAGTTTTTCAGTGATTTTGAAGGTAAACTGATGAATTTGATACCTTCATCATCTCTGCTTCCAAGCTCTATGTTTTTTTCTACTTGTTAATTTCAGCCAGATTTCTCATCACTGCCCATTCTCTATTTCTAGAACTGTATTGTGTTTATTTGAATGGGAACTCCCTTAAGGCTCTTGGTTTCTGTGGTCTCAACACATTTATAGATCCTTTCCTCTATGAATGAATAAATGAAAGAGGTAGGGTAAATACAATTATTTTTGAAAATATGGACTGCTGCATGTCAAATGTTGAGCAAAGGAAAGAATTAAAAGCTATGCCACTGATAGAAAAGTGTATTTAGAAAGACTTTTAGCAGCAAAATGGCAATTACTGAGGAATTCAAAATAATGGGCAGACCTTTGCCGTAGTCTAGCAAATCAATGTTTGTATCATTCTTTCACATGGAATTACTTGGGCGTATTACTTCTTGGGGTCGCTGAAAACCACAGCCCCACCAAGAGAGATTCCCCAGCCTACATTTTACCACAGAAGCACTTAAACATACAGTGTCAAAATTTCTCCAGTAATATTCAAGTATCTTGTAGTTTCGCAAGGCAGGAAGATAAGTACTCAGAATAAATACTGAGCACCCTCCAGTGATAGCAAGGAAAAAAATACAGCTCCAATGAATTTCAGTACCCCTTCCTCCTTTGGGAGCCAGATCCAAAAGTGGAGATGTCTCAACCCTCTGTGCACTGTCTTTGGATCATAACGGTTCTTATTTGTTGTGTGTATTTGCCTTTCTATCCTTCCCTTTGTTGACCATGTGGGAAGTCATTCGATTCTGTGGTTTGTCTGGTTCCCTTCACCCGCTGTTCTGCCCGACACTTGGTTCTTCTCCCGATCATTCCCATGTCTTTTCTAGGGTCTGTTTCTTCCTGTCTTCAGTGTTTCATCCACTTGTTCGTTTCCTCCTTGTGTTCTCCCCTTGTTTGAGGTTTTTGTATCATTGTTTCCTTAAGGTTTCTCCATGGGTGGGGATAGATGCTTGTTTCACGTGAGTGTTCACAGAGCTGAGCACAGTGTCTTAAGAACTGAACTTTGTCCGAGTTCAACCGTTGCCTCATAATGGGAAAGGCTCTTCAAAAGTCTTGTTTTTCCCATAAACATAGATCGGATCGTTCCCATTTACCTGTCTGCTTCTTCGGAAGCTGCACCAGCCCTTCAGCCACAACTAATGCAGTCATTGTTTTCCATTGTTTTGCAAGTGGCTATGTGTGGCTTGCACAGATTCCCAGTGATAACCACCAGTGCCAGTCCATGCAAGTGGTGACAATTGCTGAAGTGGGAAGTGTAACAATGGTGTGTGAGGCCTCAGCTTGGGAAGAAGTTGTGACCTGTTGAGTATTCCTATCTATCTGAATACATTAGATTTGCTGAGTTCTAATGGTTTTGAGAGCCGTGAATTCTCAAAAGATTCACAGCTCTTCTCCAGCTTCCTCAGTTATTCTTGCTACACAATAATTGAAAATCTGTACAGGGAATACTTAATAATTAGTACTTGTATTTTTTATTTTATTTTATAAATCTGTCCAAAGTGATGAGTTTAGTAAATTACACACACGTGCACGAAAGGAAGGAATATATTTCATTTATTATGATGCTGCAGTCCCAACATTTTTGTTAAAAAATAAAAGGCCAACATTGAATTTCTTCTTATAATATTTGTAGCATAATTATTGGTTATCATTTGCTAATTCTTCTTTGTCCATACTTGCTTGCATAAGGCTATAAATATAATAGGCACATCCAACTCTATAGAGAAACCACCACCTGAAAATCAGACTGACAAGGCAGAAATTGCATTTACTTGTGATGAAAAGAAAACGGAAGCAGCTGTTTACAATGCAGAATCAAACAATAAATACAATCATTTGTATTCAACACTCTGGGAAGAAAGATATGAAAAAATGTGGGTTGCAAGTGAGAAAAGGGAAGTCAAAACACATTTTAAGAGCATTACAGCAGAACTGAAGCAGATGTTTGGTGAAGTTAATGGAAATGAGAAAATATGCAATACTACTGAGGAAGGAATATCGCAAGATGGCTTCAGTGGTGTATTAGAGGGTACGAAAGAATCACCATCACCTCATCTGTCTAAAGGTACCATTGGTATACATGGAAAGAGTGACGGAGAGTCAAACTCTGTGATCACAGAAATGGAATTCAGTACTGAAAACACAATTTTATATCCCCAAAATTCCATTTCTCAGAAGCCTCTTTTTAAACTGTGTAAGAATGAAAATCAGAATATTGAGCAGCATTGCAACACATATGATGAGGCATTGTCCAATAATACAGGAGGTACAAAGGTGAATCTAGGTGAAGAAAGGAGTGACAATACAGTTGAACACTTGGAAAGAAATAAGAGTGGAAAGACTTCAGCTCCAATAACAAGTCCCAGTTATTCACCACTGCATACTTGTAAAGCCGGTGTTTCAGATGCAACTTTTAAGACTGCAGGTATCAAACAACCGATCATGACGGACAATTCAAACTTACATTTTGATGTAGCAAATGAAACAAGTAGAAAAACTCTACATAGTTTTAAGACTGTTGTAAGCAGTTGTAAAGATACCGATATTGGAAATAAAGTGAGAAACTCTGAACAAAGCTTCCATCAAGCATCAAAAAAAGAACTGGATAAAGAATTGGAACGTGATGTCGCAAGGTTTAAAAATGAGGTAGGAATGCTGCAGATAGTGTTCCTGGCTTTGGAGAACGAAAAAGCCCAACTGCAAAAAGAGGTAGAGGTGTACCTGCTGCTTTTCATTCTTTGATCTTTCTTGCACTTCAACCATCCTGTTCATTTTAGCTCTTCAGCATTTATCGGAAAGCCCTCTTTTTAAGCTTCACACAATTATTCTTAAGCGGATCACGAAGGAAGAGATACATGTTTTCATTCCATTAGACGATGATTTTAACAATTAATTCACCAATTTGTTTTTATCATGTATTTTTTGTTTTTGTATTTTTGTATTTCTATGCTGTGAACCACCTTGAGATCTACGAATCAAGGGCAGTTTACAAATTTAACAAATAAATGAATAAATAAATTTAATAGTTGACTATACTAACATGAAAAGGCTGTGAATAGGTGCAATGGCCTAACAAATTCACTGCACCCATTTTAAGCAGGGTAAGAATTTGGGCCAAAATGTGAAAGTGGCTTCTGAACAGGGTATTGATCAATATTTCCATTTACTGTCATTCTTGCTTGGCACTCTTCACTTTTGCTGTGTGAAACGTTACTCTTGTAAGATTCATTTTCTTCATTTATAGTATTGTTGGTCACTTTTCTAAATAATATTTTATCTGCTTTCACTTAAATATTGTGTGTTTTTTTCTGTCACTAATACATGTATTCTTTCATTACTACCTGTTATGCAATACAAATTCTCATTAACTTGCAAGCTTAGTAGTGAGTGTTTCCTTTTCAAGGGTGAAATGGTTGTTTTCCAGGAGTGTTGAGCAAAAAAAATAAAATAAAAAAGAACAATTTAAAATTATTGGCTTTCTACTTGCATTCTGACAAATATATTGACTTGTTTGTTTTAGGTTGAAGAGGAAAAAAGAAAGCAGAAATGGGAGGAAGTGGAGGTCGTTGGAAAAAAAGAAACTGCAAATGTTGGGAAAAAACTGGCTATGAATATTGAACAAAGGGATCTAAAGCCCTCAGAAAATGAAGGTGAAATGATGGAAGAAAGTCAATTAATGAACAAAATTTCCTCAGACAGAAAGGGATTACTTACAGTAACTTTTAAGAAGTGAGTATGAATAATAATACACATCTGTACTCATATGAATGTACTGAATGAGTTTGCACAAGGAGATAAGTAACTATACAACCATCTGATGTAGACTATATTTACATCTCCTTCCTGGACATGTGAGAGCATAGTTCATCATTTTGAACTGAAATAGTCATATTGTTGTAGTTAGTAGCATTTAGTTCTAATTTTCCTCAAAGAGTCCCAAAAATCATCTGCCAATAATTTTTCCATCTTTAAGTATGTTATGGTTTCATTTTTGTCACTGTATAATTTTTTTTTGTTTTGCTACAGGTGCATTTGTTTTAACCCAGTGCATATTATTTAAGGTAGTGTGGGTTACAATATGTTGCTGTAGCTTCTTAAATACTATATTTTTTCTGCATTTGAGGGAAAATCCTATTGCCAAGGTGAAGGATATAGAAAAAAGTGAAAATAAAAAATGGATTTCAAAGCAGAAAACCAGTCAGGAGATTATTGAAAATCTACATGAGCTTCATGATGACAGCAGTTTAAGTGAAGCATCTTTGGAAGAAGAGAGGTACTAAAAGCCATAATGTTGTTTGTTTACAGGGGTCAGCAAACTTTTTCAGCAGGGGGCCGGTCCACTGTCCCTCGGACCTTGTGGGGGGTCAGACTATATTTTAACCCAGAGATGCACTTTAAATAAAAGGACACATTCTAATCATGTAAAAACACGCTGATTCCCGGTCCGTCCGCAGGCCGGATTGAGAAGGTGATTGGTCTGGATCCAGCCCCTGGGCCTTAGTTTACCTACCCATGGTTTAGAACATTAGAATCATAGAATTGTAGAGGGTCATCTAGTCCAACCCCCTGCAATCCAGGATATCAACGTGGAACATGAACCCACAACTCTGAAATCAAGAGTATTAAGCTCTACAGACCGAGCTTATCCCACCATTGAATGCATGTTACTTGTTTGGTGGGTGTAAAAAGCTCTGTTATTTGGAATAATGGCAGTGATATATTTAGCCAAGTATTGTATCTCCAGATTTACCAGAGCCTTCTAAGTTCTCCTGAAGAAGCCTTTGCAGTTATGTGTTCATGCTGCCATTTTGCATTTGGTTTAATTTTGAATTTGCCAGGGCTATGCATCAGTTCTCTGTGTACCCTGAATTATCAGGTGATTCAGGATCTGTTCTTATATTTTTGAATCTGTGCCTCTAACAAAGTGTCTCAAAGCCTCACAGAAACTCCATAAGATTCCAAGTGTCTCTGTAGTCTCGACTCAAACGCCTCATTATTTCAGGAAGCTGACTCAGGAAATACCCAGAGCTTAAGAGGTGTGGGGATCATTTGTTTAGACCAGTATTCAACAAACTTGGGTACCAGCAGTTGTTGGACTACAATTCCCATCATCCTTGACTGCTGTTCCTGTTAGCTAGGGATAATGGGAGTTGTAGTCCAACAACAGCAGGGGCCCCAGGTATGAGAAACACTGGTTTAGACACACAGGTCTAACGTTTAATCAAAGTTAATTATTTCCCGAAAGGGACGTGGGTGGTGCTGTGGGTTAAACCGCATAGCCTAGGACTTGCTGATCAGAAGGTCGGCGGTTCAAATCCCTGCGATGGGGTGAGCTCCTATTGCTTGATCCCTGCTTCTGCCAACCTAGCAGTTCAAAAGCGCATCAAAGTGCAAGTAGATAAATAGGTACCGCTCCGGCGGGAAGGTAAACGGCGTTTCCATGCACTACTCTGGTTTGCCAGAAGCTGCTTAGTCATGCTGGCTACATGACCCGGAAGCTGTACGCTGTCTCCCTCGGCCAGTAAAGCAAGATGAGCGCCGCAACCCCAGAGTTGGCCACGACTGGACCTAATGGTCAGGGGTCCCTTTACCTTTACTGTGGTACCTCGCAAGACGAATGCCTCGCAAGACAAAAAACTCGCTAGACCAAAGGGTTTTTTGTTTTTTGAGCTGCTTCGCAAGACGATTTTCCCTATGGGCTTGCTTTGCAAGACGGAAAGGTCTTGCAAGTTTGTTTCCTTTTTCTTAACACCGTTAATACAGTTGCGACTTGACTTCGAAGAGCAACTCATAGAACGCAGTGTGGTAGCCTTTTTTGAGGTTTTTAAAGACTTTGGTGATTTTTGAAGCTTTTCCAAAACTTTCCCGACACCGTGCTTTGCAAGACGAAAAAAATCGCAAGACGACAAAACTCGCAGAATGAATTAATTTCGTCTTGCGAGGCACCACTGTACCTAATTATTTCTCAGGGCACTCCAATCACAGTGATCTGTTGTGGGACAATTAAAAGCTGTGTTTTTAATGTGGATCTATGTCTGTCCCTATGCAAGTCAATAGGGACACCTCAGTTGTATCTCCACAAACTCAGGGAGGGGGTGTCTAGCAGCCTCCTCCCCTTTTTACCACTACTACCCTGAACCATTAGAGTAGCAGGATCATTGTGTGTAAGAGGGTGACATTTCCTCTACCCTAATTTCTTGGAGTTCCATTCTCACACCTTGCCCCTATGCTTCCTATTGTATCCACCAAAAAACAGTCAAGGGGATGACCATGTCTGCAAATTGTATCTGGTTCTGATAGAAAAATGAAAAAGTTACATACTTTCAATTAAAACATCAAACTTTAAAACATCAAGCTTTAAAAGTGCCTTGCACGCACCCTCACACTGGGTTTATCTGCCTAAAATTTGACAGGCTTCTGCACTTTGTTGGGGCTGCTACAGGGGCTAATTTCATCCACCTAAGTTAAAATATATGTACTGTTTTTAGATTCCTCATTATAGTGAATGATGGGGAAACAGTTTAGTTTTTAACAGATCAAATGTAGTTCCAGATAAAGAGCCTAATTAGAAACACACAAAGTGGCTCCAAAACAGACTGAGCTGCTGCCCAAAGATACAGATACAAAATTTTTGTACATTTTTAAAGTTAAAAGTAGTTTACTTGCAACACTTTCATACTGAAAAGTGTTATGTTTGTTTTCTAGACATCAAGCCCGAAATGTGAATGAAACAAAAAAGGTACTGTAAAATAGGCTGTCAAAATTTTACCTTAACTTGTAAACATTTGTACAGAACTATAAGTGGCAAGGGTATTTTCACCAATTTTTGAGGAAGAAAGAGTGGCCACACTCATGACATGCTGATCCAAGGTTTAGGATAATGTGCAAAAGCAGGAATGAGTTATAGCAAGCCTTGGACATGCATATTCCCTGGATGTGTGAAGAGATGTCTGCGTGGAAACAATCTGTACTTGGTGGTTGCTAGCAAAATAACTGTTGCAGTTAGACACTAATAATGTCACTTTCAGGAAGTCAGTTTAATGATTCAGTCAGACCAATTGAACTTTTTATGACTTCTTTTAATACAGAACTGGATATGAGCTATAATCAAGTTGTGAATGAGGGGTAAATTATGCAAATATTCTGGTCATGGCTATATAGGACTGTTAAAGAAATTGGGAGAGAAGAAGTGTGGATACCAGCACCTGGAGAGTTAGAAATCAGCAGCACTATTAGGAAAGCTAAGAGCTGTTTGAAAGTTGTTAAGTAGGCAAGTTCTTAGCTAGCCTTCCGCCTAGGGAGAGCCAGCTAATGACAATATAGGTGTACCGTTATTATGCATTCAACTAAACACGGCAAAATGCTTTGGCATAAAATCCAGAGACTGTTTGGAAGTGGGTGAGCTGACAGAGAATGTGGCACAGGCGCATCATGTGGTGCCCTCCATGTGTTATTAGACTACAACTCCCATCAGCCCCAGACCGCAAGCAAATGGTCAGTTTCAGTGGGAGTTATAATCCAATATTTGGAAGGCACCATGTTGGCTACCCTGGATGTAGCGCAAAGATGGGTTTGTGTAACAAGCTAAACCCTGGTTTGCTTGCATATTAGACATCAGGCCATTGTTTAGGACCAAACTGTAGATCTGTTCGCATCTGGACAAGAGGGGAGGATCATGGCACCAAGGTCAAGGACAGTCATGCTTCTCAAGTGTTTTGTAGTGAAATAACCAGCATGTGAACTGATCATGGTTTGATTTGACTGAATTGTGCTCAACTGAGCTATTGCTGTATTCTTGAAATACTATTTATGGCCTAATAGTTAAAAAGAAATGGGCTGATTTGTTATGATGTTTTATTGTATTTGATTATGTATTTATTACTCATAGATCTATAGAGCAATGGGAGTTGCCAATGATTTTGATGACTTAACTCCGTCTTCAGATACACCTACAGATGATATTGAGTTACCTACTTCATTCTATAGAGAAGCTATGATGTTGATAGAAAAACTTAGTTTGGATAGTAAAGGTAAGCACAGTTCTATTGTTACCCATAATATTCAGAACAAAATAAATTTAACACCCAACAGTGTCAACCTGCTTGGGTGTCAACTTTTGCTCTTGTAAACAAGACTTCCTCTCCCTCTATTTTACCCTGTATGCCCCTAAAATCTAATTGGCAGGGTAAGGGTGGGGCCATCTGTATATGTTTGTATGTCCTCCTCTGGGTGATTTGCAGTAGATCAACAAGGATTTTTAACTCCTAGCAATAGCAGCAGCAACAAAGCAACCACTCATCAGGGAATTTGGACCAAACAACTAGCAGTATGTTGATGACATCCAGCTCTGTCTCTCCCTTCTATAAGTATTAGAAGAGGCTGTGCAGGTCCTGAATTACTGCCTGGAGACAGTAATGTGGATCAATAAGTTGAACCTTAATTCAAACAAGACTGTGGTCCTGTGGGTGGGTAATTCCCTTGTCTGAGATTTGGTGGAGCAGCTTGTTCTGGACAAGGCTGCACTCCCCTTGAAGGAGCAGGTTTATAATCTGGGAGTGTTCCTATAGCCATCATTGTCACTTGAGGCCCAGATTCTTGGAAGTGCAAGTGCATTTCGAATGCATGTGCAGCGCAGCCCTCAACACTGCGGTGAATTCGGAACCCTAAACTTACCAGGAATTCCTTGTGTGAATCACACCTCAAGAGTACAATCAATGTGTGTGTTTTTTCCAAGCACATTTTTTCCAGGGTATTAATATAAAGCTATACACTCACTTTTTCTTGTTGCTATGAATTAAAATTTTGAACAAGTAAGTTAATACTACACTGTTTCCCCCAAAGCAGATTCTGTGAGTCTCCTGAAAATTCAAAATATATGTCATGAATATGAAAGTTTAATTGAACGTGAAAGAGCATGTTCTATTCATCTTCGAGGAAAAGTAAAAAAAATTGAGAATGAGAAAAAAGAGCAACAGAGAATACTGGAAGAAATAACAGAAATGAAATCTACACTGGATCATAAAAAAGTTGAATGTGAAAGTACTATCAGCAGTCTCAAGTAAGCTGTCATAAAAATTTTCAATTCTGATAATCTAAAAAAAATAAAATGGAATCAGTTTTATTAGATACTTCTGCTGTAAAAAGTTGGAGACTTCCTAGGATGGAGTCAGCATTCTTAAGCTAAGGTTTGATTAGAGTAGCCTGTTGTTAAAGTGGAACAACATACAGAAATGGCATCACTTGATGTCTGCACATTGTCACATTTCCACAGGGACCTATGTGCTTAAGTCCAAAATGTGTAGGCCGAATGTTGCTATCAGTGTGCATATGTTTTATTAGTTAGCTTCTGTTTTTGTGTTGTAAACTGCCCTGAGATCTATGGATGAAGGACTGTAAACAAATTTAATAAATAAAAATAAAAATACTACAAAGGTCACCGTGCAAACATGATAGTCTAATGAACAGGTGGCTGAAGCAGGGCAAACAAGCACAGCTCCCTCATGCACATAGCCTCAAACATCTGTCATAGAGGTATTTTAACCTAACATTAAATGCCTGCCTCTGTATTCATACACGTCTTTTAAAATGGTTATTTGCCAGATTTTCTTTGAAACAAGAAGAAGAAAAGAGGACAAGTGCTGAAAGGTTGTACGAGGAAAACCAAGAACAGTTAAGGAAGAAAGAGGAGCAGTACTATAAACAAACAGAAGAAAAACAACAACTTGAGTTAATGCTGAGAAGTCTGGAAATGGAATTTAGAACACTGAAAAACCACTTGAAACAGGTTAGATTAATTTGGAAACATTGAACTGTAGAGTTGGAAAGAACCCAAATGGTTTTTAGTGCAAACCATTGCAATGCAGGAATTGCAGCTAAAGGCAATGGAGAAATAAAGTAAAAATGCCTATGAAAGTACTGAAAACAGCTCGGATTTGTAGTAACCATTGTCTGAGACAACAAATTAGCTATTGTACTTTCATGTTATATTTGGTTGTTTACAAAGAATATGAACAGAAACCTTTTTTTTGTGGTAGGAAGTTCTTACTCATATTCCATTACCTCTGAGCCTAACATAAATTGGTTTACAGGGTGATCCTAATTATGTTTACTCATGAGGAAGTCCCATCTATTTCAATAATATTTACTTTGGGCTAAATATAGTTAGAACTACTGTCTTAGAAACAGGCATTATTTCTGAACATTAAATTTGGCCTGGGATCAGTGCTTGAAATACAGCTCACCATCACCACCAATCTTTTGTGATGCATCTCCTTAGCTCCTGTGTTAGAAAGCTCCAGAGATGATTTAATTTGTCTCCATACTTCTATTCAAGGACCTCCCATGCCTCCCTACCTTAAGCTACCTTACTGTGCTGGCTGGTATCAAACCATCTATCCTGTGATTCATTCATGCAGATCCCAAGCAAGATCTCACTTTAACTAGTTGCTTGCCTGCCTGTCCTTGCTCCGGGTTTTGTCAGCTGATTCCAGAAACACTCAGAATTCTGGCTACCTTAGAATCTAGGTACATTTTCTACCTAGAAGTGGGAACAGCTTTGCTAACTTGGGCTATGTTGGAATCCAAAATAACCCTGACTCCAGAAACAGCACATTATTGGACTCCTCCCTGTCTTTTCTTCCTTAATCCTTGCTGCAATTTAACTCTGGCGCTGGCACACAGAAGGGGTGCTTTCTGTCTTGTTGGGGTGGAACTTGCAGGTCTAGAGGCAGATGGTGAACTTTTGCTGCCGAGGAAATGCATAGCCCTAGCCAGCTTCTTTGTGAAGATCTAGATTGGATAAAATCAGTGTACAGATTTCTGAAAGAAGTTATATAGAGTTGTAGGGGTGTTGAGAATACATTCCCATGCAAACCCATGTGAATATTATTTTGTCCACAGTGGGAACACAGACTAGTACAGAGAAGTTGCTGGCCAAAGGGATCTTGACTAATGAAAGAAATAATTCACTGTGCATCACTGATAAGCTGTAGCAGATGATCCTGTTTTGGGAAGGTTTTCTGTTTGGTGAGCCCAGCATAGGAGGGAGGGCTGAACAGAGATTGTCTCTCCCTTTCTGGAGAACTAGTGAGTGCAAAAAAATGAAGATTTTTCAGATCTATGCTTTGTTTTGCAACAGGTGCCAATAAATAATGCTCATGAGAAAGTAGACCTAGTTATTCTATTTCAGCAATAGGGACTGTGTCTTATGAGGACCAATAAGAGACAGTGAAATTGGAAGTCAGGCAGGAGGTGGAGCTTATGGGTCCACTTCATGAGCATTATGGACCCCTTTACTCCCCCATTTCATAATTCAAGTGTTGACTGGAAAGCTGGCCAATTATTGTCAGTTGGCTACCCAAGTTGATTTTTCTCTTATTTGATTATGCTATTACTCCATTTAGCCAAGAACATTGACCTACCTTTTTAAAATGTCAAACTATTCCAGGTACTGAGCAAAATAGGGATGGGCTCCACATTCATGTCTTGGGTTAAGCTGATGTATTCTAAACCTACTGTCTCAATATATGTAAACAAAGTTCCGCTAGAAACCTTTAGGTTAAAAAGAGTGCTTGCTAGGACTGCCCATTCTCTCCCTTATTATTTAATCTATTTATCAAACTCTTGGGTGAAATCATCCAACCAAAATTTAGGAGTAAGTATCTAAAATTAATTTTCTATGCAGAAGTATTGCAATGATTGCCAACCGTTTTGGGACTTAGGGGGACATTTGTGATTTTGAGAAGATGCTGAAGGGACCAGTCAGAAAATGGCCTAATACTAAATTGCTGCCATTTCCAAAAGAGCAGAAAAGGAACATAAAATGTTTCAAGTGTGGGAAAATCTGTTTGTTTTATTTTAAATAGAAATGCAGAATCTTTAACCAGGTGGCCTATGTGCCAGCTTACTCACACTGATGGTGGGCAGTTCAAGACCGCTGCTCACCCTTCTTCTGATTTAAAAAGAATCACCTTGGACTGGACAACCCTTTAAATAGGAGACACTTTCAAATAGAGAACTGTCCACTTTAAATAAGAGACATGTATAAGCGGTGTACATGTCTACTTAGAAATAAATGAGAAATACATTTTGAATAAGGTTTACCCTCTGGTAGGTGTGCATTCGTCAAAGAGAGTGTAAGCTGAGCAGTCAGTGTACACAATAACCAGCCCATGGTCAAAATTCTAAATAGTATATGCAGTCTTGCTACTTTAGCTTCTGTTAAAGGCATGAATGAAAAAAACGTGACTTCGAAAGATCCAGAAAGGCTGCCTAAGGCCTATTTTATGACAATGTTTGATCTCCTAAATATCAACCTGATAGAATACCAAATACCAACCTGATAGATATAAATATTAAATCCCCTAATTTATGTAAAAGTAATAACTGATAATCAGTAAGCATGTTTTGCTTAATTAGATCTTACTATTTCTGTTGCATTTAGCTTAAATGTTTTAGGGAGCAAAAGGAAAATAGACTTTTAAAAAGTTTAGTGACCTCATAATTAACTAGATAGGCCAAGTGTTTTGTGATGTCAGCTGAAGCTCAGAAGGAGAAATGGCTATGTCAGTTCTGTAATAGACAGCTTTACAGTGCTCATCCATATTTTAATGTTTACACTGTTTAAAACAGTATGCATTCTCCTCGTTTGAGTTCAGTTTTAAAGATTTTTGCCCCTTTCCGTTTCCTTTTGATACTGAAGAAGCAGCATACTTAAGGACTTTTTTGTTATTCCTTATTTGCTTGATACCTTGAGTCTGAATTTCCTTTCACAAATAGTTTCATGCTTCTAGGTGGTATGTTAAACTGAACAAAATGTTTTAGTAGAGTGAGAAAATGCAAAATACTTAGATGACATTGAAAATGTTTGGTCATCTGCCAAATCTGATTACTGAAAATTGGTCATTACCAGCATTCAGAATATGTAGAAGTATTTTTATCTGGTGCCTATGAAGGCTGGGGTAAGCTACCAGCTGTATTCTGATTTTAATAGAATGAAGAAAATTGACCAACCTAATCAGGAGTGGATTTCCTCATTTTCTAGTTATCCTCGGGGCAACTCTAGCACTTACCTATTGGGCAGAAAATTTACATCTGGTAGATATCAAGGAAGCTTGCTTCCTAGTCTTTCCTTTTCTATTCCTCCTGTGAGAGAAAGCATTTTAGAGAGGATCAATTCCTCATCAAATGCATTAGATTTGAGTTTCAAGGAAACGCCTCAGGCAATGCAAGACCTTGTGAATGCTGTTCGACAAATGGTAAGCTTGTTCAGAAATATGAGAAACTCAAAATTAATATGCAAGCTCTAGGTTTTTTCACAGCTTACGTATTTTGAAAAAAAAGGTAACATGTACTTTCTGTTCTTACAACAATAGTATGTGCTTTGAACTCCTTTCTTATCAAATAAAAGAAGATACTTCAAAAAAATTAAACTAATACTCTTTCGAAAATATGAGAAATTGAGAATTTCACCTTAATTTCTGTTCATCCCAGAAACAGAATAAATACCTGGAAAAGCAATTATTATGTATAACATTCAGTGCAGTGACTTCTGTTTTTACTAAAAGTTTTCACTTTTAGTGTATTTTTTAAGGACAGCTGTGTTCTGAATTCAAATGTGTGTGTTTTAAAAAATTGTATATCGTTCTTTTAGATATCTTTAAATGCATTTTTGTAGATTGAAGAAGAACGCAATGAAGCCCAGCAACAGCTGTCACAAGAAAAGTCTGCCAGAGCTCTGCAAGAGGGTATTTTAAATTCTCACCTCTGGAGGCAGAAGGAATTAGAGGAAGAGTTGAAAAAAACAGCAGCTATACAGTCAGAGGTATCCATTTTATCAAATCCTTAAAAGTGTAAGAGAGCTAAGCACAAATATTTTTCCAAGACGCACTAGCACAGAACACTTCCATAAACTTAGGTAAAGACTGGACCATTAGGTCCAGTCGTGACCGACTCTGGGGTTGTGGTGCTCATCTCGCTTTATTGGCTGAGGGAGCCGGCATACAGCTTCTGGGTCATGTGGCCAGCATGACTAAGCCGCTTCTGGCGAACCAGAGCAGCGCACAGAAACGCCGTTTACCTTCCCGCCAGAGCGGGAAGTATTTATCTACTTGCACTTTGACGTGCTTTCGAACTGCTAGGTTGGCAGGAGCAGGGACCGAGCAACGGGAGCTCACCCCGTTGCAGGGATTTGAACTGCCAACCTTCTGATCGGCAAGTCCTAGGCTCTGTGGTTTAACCCACAGCGGGACAGTAAATTTTTGCTTTGAGTTCACTTTTACTACACTGGGATTTCTTGCAGCAAATTTCTAAAGTGTGAGTATGCATTCTTGCACTCCTAGATATACTGTATTGGCCTGAATATAAGCTGCACCTGTAAAATTGGGAGGGAGGGGAGAGAGAAAATACCCAAATATAAGCCGCTCCATTCCTTGCTGCTCCTGGATGCATACTGGGTGATGGGGGGAGCCGCGCTGCATTGCCGACGGCCTTTCCCCTTCTTTGCTCTCTCCCTGGCCTTGGGGGAGTACGCGTGGGACAGACGCTGCTTTGCCACGCTCCTGGCTGTATACCGTAAGGTCACAAATATAAGGCGCATTTTAACTTTTCACAGTCACAATTTAGGGAAAACGTAGGCTTATATTCAGGCCAAAACGGTATGTCAAAGGGCTCACTATGTTCTAGTTATGGTTTCTTGGTACGTTTAAAGACCTTCATTTGTCACACTTTCATGTGGATTGTATTGTTTGTGCATAAGCTTTAGTTAAACATGATTAATATCTGTATGCAAAATATTTCCAGGGGTACAATAGGCGATGGGAATTGGGGGATAGGGAAGCAATTTGAAGGGGTTCAGGTTCCAGAGAGGTCTCTCCTGAACCAATGTGCAGATCAGATTATGGCCTGCTTCTGGAATTTGCACTCCACCAAATTCTTTTAGTCTTTTTTCTTCCTCTTTCTTTAACAAGTACTGCATAGGAAAAAAACATGGACCTATAAGAGCAGCCATGTTTCTTTCCATATGCTGTTCTTGAAGGTGGCTGTTGTCACCAGTTCTTTCAAGGTAATTGCAGCCCCTTTTACATCTTGCATGGGAACAACTATGCTTCCTGTCTGTTCCAGCTGGTAGATATCAAAGATGTCAGCTGCCCTGTGGCTTCCTGTTTGTGGAATGCCCTCTACAGGGAGGCTTGCCTGGTGCCATCATTACATATCTTTAGGAGCCAGGCAAAGGCATTTCTCTTCTTCCAGGCCTTTAGCTATTTAAAGCTGGTGGGGGTATTTTTTATTTTTATTTTTTTGTTTTTATGCTATTTATTTTTTGTGGTTTTATCCTGTAAACTGCCCTGTGATACTCAAATGAAGGGTGGTATATAAATCAAATAAATAAGTATATAAAGCCATGATAATGATGAGGAAAATAAAAGAATTTTGGAAGATTTTTAAATTAACTTTACCTTATGTTTATAAATCATTCAGATGACTGATAATCATGCCCAAGAAAAGGAACTGTTAAATAAAAATCGAGTGCTCGAAGATGAACTAACGGTGTTAAGATTAGAGCTGGAACACATAAGGGTCAAGCACCAGGAAGAAGAAACTAGATATTTGGAAGAAAATGAAGCTTTGAAAGAAAAAATAGAAGAACTTAAAAAGGAGCTGAAAGTAAATGAAGAAACTTTGACTCAAACAATTTTTCAGTACAATGGACAAATCAATTTATCAAAAACAGAAGTTGCAATCCTAACATCCAAATTAGAACATTTTAAAGAAAATAAAGAAAGATTGGAGGGAGAACTTGACTCAGTTCGTTCCCGCTCGACTTCTGCTGCTCAGGAACTTGAACGATGCCAGATATTGAAAAATGATCTTGAACGAACACTGCAACGAGAGTGCGATGAATGGCTTCGCTTGAAAGAGAAACTGAACCATGATCTATGTCATCTACGAGAAACAAACAGTGGCATGTCTGAGCAGTTAAGAAAAGCTGAAAGTAAAGCTAATAGTCTCGAACACGAACTTCATCAGGTAACACATAGTCTTAGAGAAAAAAGCATGCAATTAGAAAGCGTTCAAAGAGATTTAAATCAGGCACACTGTCTAGTGAAGGAACTTGAGAATACGCGGCAAGTTGACAAGGAGCAAATGAATAAATATGTGGTAAAACAGGAATCTATGCAGGAACGATTAGCGCAGCTCCAGAGTGAAAATCTTCTACTCCGGCAGCAATTTGAAGATTTTCAAAACAAGGGTATTATCAAAGAAAAAGTAGTGAGTGATGTTCAAGATCGATTCAATGATATTTTCAATAAACTCAGAGCTGATACCGAAAAACAAGTGCAGATGAAGGAAGAGGTAAATAAGGAATTAATTGCAAAATGCAATAATTTGAAGGAGGAAGTCTTGAAATATGAAGCAGAAAAAGCAGATAGAGAGGTAAGTGTGATATATTCAATCAGTGCATCTCTAAACATTAAAATACAAGTGATGCAATTCTCTTAGCCACTAGCAAAAGTCTGAATGCATTAACAAATCTCTATTTACACCTAGCAGTACTATGGTTTGACATGGAGAGTTTTCTGCAATTGTCTTCTAAATGAGCATTATCCTCAGATGTTAGAATTGCACACCATATAATACTGTGGAATATACTACAAAGGGGAACTGCATTTACAACCAGTTTGTGTATTTAAAACACTTTGATAGGTCCTTTTTAAAATCTTTACATTCGGAATAAATAGGAATGAGTGCTAGCAAGAAGCAATCGGCATGCTCTGTCCGAAGTTTCAGTTTCAGGTGCAAGCGTTTTGTATGAATCATGACTCGAGAACTAAAGTGGGGCTACTTCAGAGAGATTCAGGGCTTCTTGGCTTCAAAGCAGGATCTCGCTGAATCACCCTGAACTGAAACAGGATCCTCTGAAGCACTTTGGGATACTTTGGAGATTTTATGAAACACAGCAGATGGTATTCTGCAAAAATTTCTCTACAAGCTATAGGCATCATTTAAATCACCTTTTCTTTTCTTAGGGTACAATAAGGCAACTTAAACAAGAACTTGCAGATTCTCTTAAAAAACAGTCCATGTCAGAAGCTTCACTGGAAGTTTCTACACGTTATCGTATTGACCTAGAAGAGGATAAGCAACATCTTCAAAAGGAGATAGACAGGATGAAATTCAAGGTATGATCAAAATAGTTTATTAAATGTTGACTAATATGTCTTCAGCCCATTATTCGCTTTTTAAAATGCTCATTTTGAGGCAGAATAGTGGCATGTATGGATGGAGGTGGATATAATTTCAGCAATGTTTGTACCTTTATATAACCAATCTCGCTTGAAATAGAGATTCAAAAGGGTTGCGCCATAGAAATGAAGAGACTAGATTTCATTTCATTCCATCTGGTGGTCTTTCCATGTAGGTATTTTAAAGCTGATCTGTATAGCCAGGGGAGACATAGGGGAGCTGCAAACCTGTTGGTTCTCCTGGAGCTTCCAAGGTTATCCTCTTGGCGTATCTGTTAGAATTGGAGATTGGGGCACCACTTAGTGACTTTGGTAGACCTGACATGCAGAATTAATACATAATTGTTGCTATTGGCTTCAGAGAAGAAATTACCTTCTTTCTCTCACTTCATAGCAACTTTGTTCTAGTTCTATAGTCAACTGGAAACATGATTATCATATTACCAAGCCCCTTTAGCCAATCATGTTCTGTTGCGGTTTCTTTCTTTTTACAGTTGCAGGAGTCAGAAGAGCAACATCTTCAGTCTGAAAGACATATTCATGAATTTAGAAATACTTTGAGTGACAAGGAACAAAAATTACAAGATCTGGCGGTAGAGTTAACAGGAACAATTAATTCTAAAAAACAATTAGAAGACCATATACAGAGGTAAAATATACTGCCACTGTGTGCACATTGTATTTTAAGCATGCAATGAAATGAAGAGCTGCTATGTATCAAATGATAATGTTATCAAATAGCAGTGTTTACTGAATTGTATTTGTTGTGAAAACTTACACTCAAACGTATATAGAATATATATATATTTATTATGTGTAGCCTTGAGACTTTGGTTTTTATTTATTTATTCCCTTTAAGTCTTGAAATAGAAAATGCCAGACTGGAAGCAACAGCGGCTCAACAAGCTGGTCGAATTGAGATACTTCAAAAGGACCTGCAGAATAGTGTCTCTGTAAGTCATCAGTAGGATTGGGAAAGGAGAGGGTGACGGGTAGAAAGATTGTTTCTAGATGATTCCAACAACTGTCAGTTTATTATTATTATTATTATTATTACTAATTAAATTTATTAGTCACTTTATCTTGCCCAGTGCAACCCAAAGCAACTTAAAAAGACAGAAAGGAAAAACTCCACATAGATACATTGAAACCAAGGGAGAAAAGAAATACATTATAAAAATCCTAAAAGGCCCCACATAGTTAAAGGCCAAAGGCCTGGTTATAGAGGAAAGCTTTTGCCTGGCACCTAAAGACATATATATTGGTGGTGGTAGGCGGGCCTCCCTGGGGAGAGCATTCCACAAACAGTAATCTGCTACAAATTATGTAGGAGCAAAGTAATGTTATGAGAGCATTCAAAGGTCTGTTAATATTTTAGGTCACCTTCAGAAACTTTAATCAGGTTAATTCATTGTTATTGAAATGAATGTAGTAGCTTCAAGATCTCTGGAGAGAACTGTTTCAGTTTAGCTTAATAATTTAATTTTTGGTTTCTTTTTTTCTTTTTTTGAAAAAATAGATTCACAGTCGTCTTGAGGAATTGATAAATGGTTTACAAAGAGCAAAAGTCAATTTAGAGGAACAACTAAAGCAACAGGTACAGTAAAGATTTCTAATGTGCTGATGATTTGTCTGTGATTATACATGCTCATAGGATAGAAGTGAAATATGGGGGGTTTTCTGTTTTAAGATGATGAAAATTAGCATGCAGCACCTTGTGACTATCCCAAGGTGAGGGATAAATTGTTGATCCTTGCACAGTCAAAATGGCACTACTTACACACAAGAGGAAGATATATCAGCAGGCTTGGGGGAACCATGAGATTTCTAGAAGAACTTAAGTAAGCAGAAAGACAATAACTCTAAACAGAAAAAAAAGATGTGTCAGGTATGAAATCACTTAGAAGAAGAAATGAAAGGAGCACATCTGTCCTTCCTCAAGTAGGGCAGGTTTCCTCTTCTGGACTACCTCCCCACTTGAGAAGGGAAAGCTTTAAAGGCACAGATGGAGTCAACTGATAGCTGACCCAAGTTGTGCTTTCATGGGCTCAAAGATGTTCAACTGGGGATGTAGAGAAGGAAAGTGCTTATTCAGGTGACTCTCCACTTCCATAGGGGTTATGGTTCCGGGGATAGCATGTAAAGCCAAAATCACATATAGTCAACATTCATTGGGTTCAAAGGCAGGTGGGATTGCCAAAGTCTTTTTTCCCAGACACCCGTACCCTTTCTACCCCCTTTTAAATTACATATATTTTTTGCTAAGTGCATACAGCTCAATGGGCATAAGCTAAATGTGTGTAAGTTGCAGTCAGTCTTTTCTACATAGAATTCAAACAGGGAAAGTTTAAATGTGACAGAAATCACTGGTCAATAATAAAACTAGCTTTCAGCTGGTAGATTGAAGGCAAAGGGTGATAGCCAACCTTAATCATGCACAAAGCAGGCCCACTGAAATCAATGTATCAAGTCAATTGATTTTAATGGGTCTCCTCTGAGTTTGATTTTGTTGACTATCACCTCAAGTCTTTAAATATTTATTCCGAAGATTAAACAGAATTTGGTTCATAAGGCTGAAAATAATACTTTATTTCTTACTCCATCATCATCATAATTAAATAATAACGATGATTACATATAATTTTTATGTATAATTTTAATAATAATTTATATTTAAAATGTATGTAGCAAATTGCTCCTCTCAGTTGTGATGCAAAAAGGACTGATCCAATTGTTTAAGTGGGTTTCAATACCTGTTTTTGAGAGAAACTGCAATTAGTGGTAACCACAGTTTGCCTAATTCAAGCATTGTAGCAAATGGTAGCAAAGCATTGGAGGAGGCGTATATGTACCAAGGGCTGGCGGGGGTGTGGGAATTAAGAAGTGAGCAAGCAAGCCTGTGGTTACTGCCCCTATCACCAAATTATGGCTTGGTAGTTGGCTCTGTGACAACCTAATGGAGTCTATATTTTTATATAAATGCCTGGATGGCTTTTTCTGTGATAGTTCTCCATCAAAACACATTCTGATTGCTCCATAGGTCCAGAAGCAAACCATATTTTCAGCTACAGCGCAAGATACTCAGAGTATGTGGGAAGAAGAAGTAAAGTCAAAATCAAAACTTGAAGCTCGCCTTTCTGAGCTTGAGAAGGAAAAGACAGAGCTAATGGCTCAGGTGAGTCCAGCGTGAATGCAGTTAAGCCTGTGTCAAACTGTTCTGTGTTTCTTTATACTCAGAGTAAACATTAGGTACCTCCCAAGTAATTTTATTTAGTTATTTATATTAAATTTCATCCAATTGCAATTAAAAATAATAATACTCCCAAAAAAGTTTTAAAAGCCATAGATTGTTTAACTAGCCAGAAGCCTAAAAGAAAAGGAATGTTTTTGCCTGGTGCCTAACAAATATGTTTGAACCCTTGTAATCATCCATTATATTTTTTTGTGAATCATTGCAAGTAAGTTCACAAAAAATACAAACCTAAATACTGTTTTTTGTAGCCAACCTCAAATGGGCACCTCCTTTGGGGAGTGGTCTCAAAGTAAAGGCTCTCAATGAATAAACAAACATATATAACCAGCATCAGAGAACAGTTTTTTAACCTTTTCTGGCTGGCGATTGAGCAGTGAGGCCTGGATAGACCTGAAAAGCCTGTATTTCAGGTCTATCCCTCCACTAGTTCTCAATGTGTAGGTTTGCTGCCCATCTGTGGGTGGACCTGGCATATACCCAAGAGCCCACCAGAGTCTGCAAAGCTATACAGAAGGTTTTCCAGGCCATTGCTTTTTTAGCAGGATGTTGATAACACTTCTCACTTAGATTTAGCTATGGTAGGTTCTGTAGCAAGATCTTTGGTGGCACAGCTCTCCAGGACTTGCTGGTTGAATCTAAAGATAAGAAGAAGGTGCTTTCATCAGCCTGAAAGAAGGATAATCAACATTCCTTTCAGAAGTCTTTCCAGTGGTACAAGCCCCCCCCCCCCGTCCTTTCAGTTCCACCACCTAAAGCAAGTGGATGGAATTTTTGGTCCTCTCATCCCACTTGGTCTGAAAGGTGAAAGCCAAGAGACAGCAACAGTATCAAAGTTTGGTTAGTCCATCCTGTCAAAGACCTCTAGGAACCAGTTCTGATGCTTCCCTCCCTACCAGTAGGAAGCTGCCTAAACCAGGTAGTGGGACAGATGGTGGAACATAACATCAGAACATGTCTCAGAAGTAGTTTTTGCCCGGAACTGTATTTGTGGCCTCCCCACACCTTCTCCCTATCTCTGGGGTCCTCCTCTGAGAAAGAGGAACATGGTCTGCCTAGCAATCAAATATCTGGAGATTGGGGGGAAATGGGAATTTTCCCAATCAGAGGAATATCGTTGCATTTTGTTTTCTGTTTCTCACACAGCACTTGAGCACAAGAGGCAAAACATTCTTTCTGTGATCAGAAGGGCACTTGCATGCCCAGCTTGATGTGTTTCTTTAATGTTAATGAACAGTGTTAGTGTAAAGATGTTGTGCTTACTCTCTTGAAGTTGGAGCATGAAAAGAAAAAAGTGAAGAAGTTAGTGGAGTTGAAGCGATCGGTGGAAGCACGGCTAGAAGAAGAAATGAAAAGAAACATAGAACTCCAAAAAGAATGCAGCGGGTACGGAAGTTTCTGTTCTTCTGCTAATAATAAATGGATGCTGTGGTTTTATAGAAATCCTGTTAGAAATACTTTTAACATTACCCTGTTGAAAGTAATCATTCATTTAAAAGGCAGTTCCCTGCTTCTGTTGAGTATTTTACTTTGCATTTAGTGCCCTGCGCCCTCTTGTACTGTAAAGAATTATCTTTCCACTGTTTAATTGGGAGCAGCAGTTGTGTGGCAGTGGGAGCGAGGTGAGCTTGCCACAATTGATGGCCTCAGAGCAATGGAAGTGACAGTTTTCTGCCTTTTGTGGCTGTGCCTGCCTGAGGCCAGCGGAAACTCACAAGACCCCAAGAGCCAGTCAGTGCTTCTGGGGAGTGGGGCCTCAGACAATACCTGGGTGAAAACTTTACCAATTCCGGTCTGCTTTGGGGGAATAAAAGATCGTAGAATTGTAGAGTTGGGAGGGATCCTGAGGGTCATCTAGTCCAACCATTTGCAATACAGGCAAGAAGGTAAGTGGTAAAATTGCCCCTGCAGTCTTTACTGGACTTCCCCTTCCATCCTCCTTAATTTTTGGTGATTTCAGGGTTGCCCGGGGTTACCCTAGTTTCAGATCTTGCTCTGAATAGTTGTCAGTCATTGATTTTTTAGGGCCAGGGAGGAATTTGTCCTGCAGGCAAATTGTCTAAATTTGCGGGTTTTGCATATCTCATTGCAGTTGTCACAACTTTGAGGGCAGAAGAGACATTGCGCTGAATCCTTAGTCACAGCAGGTTGGGGGTGGGACCTTGCAGGACAGCACTTCCTGTCCAGATGACTGACTTGGGTGCTGGCCCTGCCAGCTTCTGGATTCACCAGAAGCAGTTTTCACCATTTGTCCATCCAACAGCAGACAGGCTGATTAGATACATGCCAGTGCCTGCACTAAACCTGTTTCATCTGTAATCAGTTGTAGCCTAAACTGATCCCAATACATGTCCCCTTGTGTTTGTTTTCTGTCTGCTCCCCCACCACTGCTTTACTGTGCATGGGCCCACAGTGTGTGCAACATGAAGACCCTGTGGTGTCAAGGGATGAAATAGTTATTGTATCTCAGGGTAAGCAGTGACCAAAGATCCTGCGGCTGGGTGAGTGAAAGTAAAAGTGGCAGCACTACAGAAGACAGGGACCTGGAAAGGGAGTAATAATGTCTTCTGTGGCAGTGCTGTTGTCATTACCAAAGGCTGACTTGCCTGCTTCACCAGTGCAGTCCATCAAATGGATGTGCACTTTTGCTAAGTAGTCCAGTTACCTATATTGTGAAATAACTACTGTAGTTTTCGCTCTATAACACGCACCCGACCATAACACGCACGTAGTTTTTAGAGGATGAAAATCCGTAGGCATGCCACCCGTAGGCATTCCCTCCATAACACGCACAGACATTTTCCCTTACTTTTTAGGAGGAAAAAAGTGAGTGTTATGGTCAAAAAATACGGTAAGTCCATTTGAGTTTGCCTAATTTTGGAACTGAAATTGAGCCTACATGCTTTGGAAGGAACAAACCATTCTACTTTCAGTTCTCTTGTACATTCAGCCATGAAGACTATGTTTCTGCTGGAGTAATGAGAGAGAGAGAAAGATCTATTGAATTTTTTAAGCAATTTGAGTAAAACTATAATCCAGGTTTTCTCATCAGTGTTTAATGTCATTTCTAAAATATTACTCTTTAGAGTTAAAAAGTTTCTAAAAACAGCTAAAAAGAAGATAAAAGAATATGAGAGTCAAGAGAGTTCATCTCTTACTACTATACATGGAGAAATGAAGAACAGATTCTCTGATGCTGAGATGGAAGTTAGCAACCTAAGAACCAAGGTATATTTCCCTCTTGCTTTAATACAATTAAAACATTTTCTAAAGTAGTCATTTTTCATAAGTGATTGTATTAAATAGTATTGTCAAATGTTTTAGTCCATTTGTTCAACAATAATGCATTCCTTGTTAAAAGCACATAGTCAGTTTCCTCAACCTACATCTCCCTAGGTCTGTAACCGAATCCTCAATATATCATTTATTGCTACAGAGTTAAATGTCAGCACTATTCTTGTGAACTTATGTAAACTTTTCTTGATTTATTTTATTTTGAAGAAGTCTTAGTTCCCTGTTTGAGTTCTTGCTGAACTTTCTCAACAGTTGGAGGTTGAGTCAGCGAGACGTGTTCAGGTGGAATCTACAAATTGTGAACTACGTGATCAGTTGTCTTCCATGAAATTACTGGAGAGAAGCAAACAGCAGCTAGAAGAAGAAATAACTAATCTCAAACGCCATATACAGGACAATATGATGGACCTCAGTCAAATTGAGCAGTACAAGAGAGAGATTGAAGAAAGAGCTAGGCAAGATATAAGTCAAAAACTGGAACAAGTCAATTTGTTTTTGCAGGTAAATGTATCAACCATTGGTTGTAATTTCATAGACAACATAACTTGCTAAATCTTTTTATCAAATATCTGAACCTAGGTGATGTGGCAGCCAATAAGCACTCTGGTTAATCCTGCTTGTCTGTCTTTTGGGTTTCTTTAAAATATGGGTGTTATGAAGACAGCTATCTCAATATAAATCTTCTAAATTAATACTATGACACTTTGTGTCCCAGACGCAGGCTGCTTCACAAGAAACAATGGAGCAGATGAGAGCTACTAATTATGCTTCCTTGAGAAATCAGCTGGAGAACAGAATAAAAGATCTAGAATGTGAGCTGGCTATACTGAGAAACAGACCGCAAGACAACAACTTACAAAGAGAATCAGTGCATTCAGAATTGGAAAGATATAAAGCATTGTACTCAGAAGAACGAAAAATGAGAAAGTCTTTGGGAAGTAAATTGGATCGGTAATTCAGAAGTCTTCTGACAATTCTCTTCCTTGTGGCTTGTGCCAGGGAAACTTTAGGGAGAAGGATACATTAGGATGGGAAAGAAAATGCTTTCTCTTAGCCTAATAGAATTTCCCTTTCAAGAACTAAAATGAAGGGACAGAACCAACCTCTCTCCCAAAATCCTCTCCCATATACAGCAGAGAGAAAAAGATAAGTAAGTACATCCAGCTAACCTACACAGTAGTACAGTGGTACCTCGGGTTACATACGCTTCAGGTTACAGACTCCGCTAACCCAGAACTAGCATCTCGGATTAAGAACTTTGCTTCAGGATGAGAACAGAAATTGTGCTCCAGCAGCGCGCCAGCAGCAGGAGACCCCACTAGCTAAAGTGGTGCTTCAGGTTAAGAACTGCTCCAGGTTAAGAACGGACTTCCGGAACGAATTAAGTACTTAACCAGAGGTACCACTGTACTCAGGTCTGAGATGAACTATAGAATATATTTCTAACTGTTCAAGTCCAGCCGCTATTTCCGGAAGGGCCACAGCTTATTCATTGTAATACCACACTTGATTGACCCATGCTTATTAGTTGGGCAGGAAAACAGAACCAGAGAAGGTAATGATTTCTGCTTACTTGAGAATTTGCCCAGTTTTGCAAAACAAGTATGTATTTGTAGATTTAAAATATTAACCTTCCCACCCCCATAAAAGGATGCAATTGTTCATGATGGCCTATCATTAGCAGGTGATGGGAGGAAATATCCTCCCTTTTCTATATAGAGAGGTTTTAAATGAGGAGAAAAGGGGCATCTCTTTCCTTTTCTTCAGAAACCACCCCTCCCCACAATCATGTTTGGGGCTGACAGCCAGGCTTGTACCCAGCCCTTAGTCTACCCAGCACAGTGGAGAACAGTTTCAGGATGGAGAAGAAAGGGGTGCCACTTTTTCCTGAGTGTCCCTACTGACTAGCCCCATGAATCTGGAATAGCAGTACAAGGGCCCTTTTCCAGGCTAGCTTTAGCCCTGAACAGGAGCATTCCTGTTATGGGCTGGAAACAACACTTTATCTAGAATCCCACTGCTACAAATGTTAAATGTTTCCACTCTTTTAAGACAAACTGTTGCTTAACTTCTCACTTGCCTTTGAAATTTTCACAGAGCTAATGAGAAATTAACAGAAGCCAGCACCAAGCTCTTACATGAGCGCCACAAAAGCAAGTCTTTACTTGCCAACAGCTTTATGAGTGGCAGCTATTCTTCAAGTCCTGTCTTGGAAACAGTTCAGGTGGGGAGTCTTGGCAGCAACTTAGCATTAAGCAGATCTCCCAGCTTTGGAGGTGCATTCATGAACCCAACGGGAAGTACAGCATCCTCAAAAATGAGAGTGGAAGCTTACCTAGCAAAGGTGAGTAACCGTGAATGTCATTCTTAAGCTATCATTTCTGTAAGGCTGTAGCTTTAGATCATGTTCACATGAACAGTTATTTCTGTTTAACAAACACTATTTAAAACAAAGACATTGGCATTCTTTAGTTCTTTTCCTGATACTAGCAAGACAAGAAATAAAATGCTGACTGTAGAGTGGAGATCAGTTCAAGGTGGTCCTTGAGGTTTTGCAGTCCTCAGTTACTTAAGGCTTTATAGGTCAAATACAGCACTTTCTATTGGGCCCAGAAGCTGATTGGCAACTGGTACAGTCGGGCCAGGATTGTTGTCATGCTCAAACCGTCTTTTTCTGCTGAGCAATCTGGCCATTGAGTTTTGCCCCACATATAATCTAACCTAGAGGTTACCAGAACATAGACAACAGAAGTTGGGCTATTTCTGTTCAGATAGGAGCTCAGCTGGACCAGCAGCTGAAGCTGATGGAAGACACTCTGTGCCACTGAGGCCACCTCAGCCTCAAGTGATGGCAAAGGATCCAGGTGAACCCCCACGCTACATATCCTCCCCATCAGAGGGAGTGTAACCCCGTCAAGAGCAGGCAACCTCCCAGCCATCTGGTCTAAGGAACCACCTACTAACAGTGCTTCTGTCTTACCTGAATTGAGCTTCAGTTTGTTAGCTCTCACCTAGTTCATTACCAAGGCAAGAAGTAGGTGCAATATGATGCTTCTTGTTCAGCAGAAAGCATCTCTTAGAGGTAGTATCATCTACACTGATGCCATTGGCATTTAATACTAGATCAGGAGTTCCCAAACTGGAGTCTGTGGCATATTTGAAAAAATACAATTAAAACACAATTAAAACTCATATATCTTCTAGCACACCGCAGTATAATTTGCTCCAACAGGCAGAAAAATATTTAAGTGGTCTTCCAAGATCCTTAGCAAATTTCAAATGGGAAAAGTTTGGGAGCTCCTGTATTAGCTAGTTCTTAACAGTCTCCAGTTGAAACTGATCAGAGTAAAGCAGGGATAAGGAAGCTGTGGCCCTTCAGTTGTTGCCGGACCGCAACTCCCATCATTCCTGCCCATTGTTTACATGGGCTAGGGCTGACATACTTGGAGCATAACATCTGAAGGGCCACAAGTTCCCCAGCCCTAGGATAAGCTGTAAGACGTGGGGAAAAAGAAAAGAGAAAAATATAGCAATTCCTACCTTAAGTGGCACCTTCATAGTCTTGTTTCCAGTGTAATGTCTTTGGTCCTACTTTTAAGCCTTGCCTTCTTTCTCCTTCCTTCCAAAAATCATTTGCTTGTTTCTAATCCCTCCCTCCATCACAAGGATATTATAAAATTGAAATTATGAAAAATGCATAAAATGGAGAGAACCTCTGCCTAAAACCCTGCAAAAAAGGAAACATTAAAAAATATATGCATTCGAAAAAGATGTTTACTGTAATGCCTTGTCTTAGAATTAGAATTGACTATGGTATGCCCTTGCTCTTTCCTGCTGTTACCTTCCCTGCCTTCCATTCCAGCAGTGCAAATGGGCACCAGCTATTATTAAATACTAACAAATTTTGTTATGGTGTAAGGTTTTGTGGACTAGAGTCAATTTCATCAGGTGCATTAAATATAATCCTCAGTTGCTGCAGGTATATATACATATGGGTGGTGGAGAAGACTTCTAAGCAGGGAGCCCAGGGAGAAATGCAATGCAAAAAGTACCGGTACTAATAGTGACCATTCAGTTAAAGCTAGAATGCATGCAGAACAAACCCTTGCCAGAATAGCTGTTCCTCTGGGAATTTGTGATCACGGTCTTTCTAATTACTAATTCTGGGCAGGACCCAGAGGAAGTCACACTTTAGTGCTAGGCATGAGTATCATGTCACTGATTTTCAATAGACTAAAACATGCCTAATTTCCTCTGGCTCCAACCCTGTTTCCAGGCTTGCAGCCAGATGCTATGCATGTTTACTCAGAAGTAAAGCACACTGAGTTCAGTGGGACTTACTCCGTAAGTCTATATGATTGCATCCCCAGAGTAGATTAGAATTTTTTTCATTGTAAAAGTTTCCCTTTTTCTCACACTTATAAATTGGTCATTTTCCTTTCTGCCTTCAAGACCTATACACTTATGGCTTGTTCTTTACTTCTTCAGCTCCTTGATCAAAAGTCTATATCTTCCTTTTCTTCTCTACAGCCAGACACTTAACAAGGTGTGTACTCCGCATCGCTCAATGCCATGTGATTCCTTGTACCGCACAAAATTCAGTGACATTTTAGTTTAAAATTATGTATTACACTGCAGTAGACTAGCTAAAAAAAGCTTTTGCTGCTACACTACATATTTAAACTTCTCAGATGGTTTTTAATATTTATTTTTTCCCCAAAAATATGTATAGCATAATTTCAATACTTTATACTTATTCCATTACCTTTTAGAACAAAGAAAAAGAAAAATAGAAATAATTAATGAAAACTGTAGCCTTAGTCATATATGCCTCAATTAGTTCCTGATTTGGCTTCTCAATTAGAAATGCCCTTGTTTTACCAACACTGCCTTGCATTCACCTGAAGATGGAGATTCCATCTGATACAATGGATACTAGTAAGTAGGGAAGATGGTAGGCATCTACACAGCATGTAGATCTGATCTCCAGTTTAGACATTCAATCCTATGTGAATATTCTGGAAGTAAAACCCATCAAACATAGCAGGGCTTACTTCTGAGTAAACATGCATAGGATTGCTCTGTGAGAATCTCTGAACAATTCAAAGAACACATGAACTATAATGAGTACTGTCTTCCTACATTAAAAACCTTGACATGGGATTGTGGGTGATTGCTCTTAATTTACTCAGTTTGCTTAAGTAACTAATCAGAAAAATAATAATTTAATTACCTTTGCCACTTTCACCCAAGGATGTTGAAAGTGATTGAAATTACCTGCTTCTTAGAACATATACTGTATGTAGAATTCCTCTGAAAAGATTTTTAAAAACAAAAAACCTCATTTCTTCCTCTTTTTTCCTTGGCATATACTGTGGTAGTATCTAATATTTATGATCCACACTTTCAAACTATCCTTGACTTCTGATGTTACATTACCTCTCAGTTGCTCATTTTATCAAATAGTCCAAGTGTTTTAAATAAAAAGTTAATTGTCTATAATTTGATTGAGGCTACCTGAAAACAGGGAGCTGAAAATTGGTATCAAAATAAGAGAAGGAATATTTGACCCAACATTAAAGTTGCTCTGATGTTGGTATTTCATAATGAATAATGTACGTTTGCATCTATAATTTTATAGCTACTAAAATATCACATAATGTAATTTCAGATGCGGACAGAACTAGAAAAAACTATCGCCAAGGAACTAGAACAAGGTATGTTAACAAAACAGCATGCTAGCAATTTAAAAACTCATCCTGCTGTGAAATATTCATTACAAACTGATACCAGTAATAGTATTCAGAGGTGGTATGCCAAAACACTGTTTTATTTTTGCAGTTTCCAAATTAGATAAATAAATAATAAAACCTTACTGAACGATTCTTTTCATGAACATTTTAATTGGTATAAATTGTACATGATAGCTGTCTTTGGGCTTTATCACGACTGTTTCAGAAGGTGCATTATAATTTTCTTTTGCCAAAGATTCTCAGTAGCTGAATTGGTGTACTGATCCTCTAATGAGTAGCAATGATTTAGTGACATAAAGTGCAAGAAGGCTGGGCTTTCATTATTTTTTTCATGACATGTATTGCCAGTTCTCCATTGATGAGCTTGTTTGTCTTCAGTAATAAAGCTAGTAACTTCCACACATGGTTTTATACATAGTCATAGATAGCATAGTTGGTAGAGTATGAGACTCTGAACCTCAGAGTTGTGGGTTCAATCTGCATTTAGGCAAAAGTTTCTTGCATTGTAGGGGGTTGGACTAGATGACCCTCATGGTCCCTTCCAACTCTACAATTCTGTGATTCTATATGTAAACAATGTGATTGAAAACCTAGCTTAAATCAAAGTATCCATTCACGTTGGCTTGCACCATTTTTTTAAATGAAGGATTTTCGCAGATCTATATTTTTAAGCAAATGCTCAATACAAAGTGTTCATTTAATGTAATAATAATAGCCTTGTTTTCCTTTCCATAAGAGACTAACAACCATATTAAGGTATGCCATGGCCTTATTGTATGGATGAACACCATAACGGTGTAAAGGACTATACAAATAATTAAGAAGTATACAGTCTAGGGCAGGGGTCTGCAACCCGCGGCTCCGGAGCCGCATGTGGCTCTTTTACACCTTTGCGGCGGCTCCGGGGCGGATACTAGCAAGGGGAGGAGGCGCATTGTGCGCCCCGACACTCCCCACTGTGGCGGGCGCTGTACTGGCTGTGACGTCGCATGGAGGCGGTGCGTGCGTTAGTCACGCACCGTCCCGACGTCACCTTCCCGCCCGCCCGCTACATTGTAAGGGGCATGTACGCTGCTCACTGCATTGAAAGGGGGCATGTACGCTGGTCACTGTTTTGAAGGGGAATGAAGAACACACACACAAAAAGGTAACTTGTTAATTTAACGTTTATTTCTATGAGGAGGAGTAATTCTGAGGGGTCAAACAAAGAAATAATTAAAAAAGTGACAAAAAAGTTATTTTTATAATGACGAGTTTTGCGGCTCCCAGTTTTTTTTTCTTCGGAAACGGGTCCAAGTGGCTCTTTTTGTCTTAAAGGTTGCAGACCCCTGGTCTAGGGCTAAATAATTATATGGTTGGTTTTGTTTTTAATTCAGTAAGAGCGTTTTAACATTAAAGAATCTCATTTTTTCTTGGAAAACTGCTTCAAAAGGGATTTGTGAAATGAAATAAATTTGTCGCTAACCAGTAAGTTCCAACAGTGGAGACTGGGGAAGCAGGGCACTGCCCCTCTAACCTCCGTTGGCCCTCAGCTAGCCCCCACCTGCCTCCCTTCTTACTTACAACCAGTCCAAGGATAGAACTGTCCATCAGGTTTTTCCCCCTGAGTCTCAGTGTTGTCCTTATAGAACTCAGCAAGGAGCAAGATGGGGACAAAAGTAGAATTACTGGGAGTTCCAACATTGTGCCAGAATTAAGACTACCACTTCCTCTGCTCCCCCAGCAGCACCCAATGCTCCCAGCATCTTCTCAGGAGCATAGGAGGACTCTTCCGTGCAGATTTTGTGGGTGCATGTGGGTGGAAAGGAAAGCCCCATTGGACAAACAGATTTCCACTGTACTAGCATGTAGACATTATTGCATGTCACCCGCAGCTACAAAGATGAATGTCCCCCCAATAGGAATTTAGTCCCTTGAAATCCACAGAAGGTAGTCATAACTACATCATCCCTTTTGAAATCCGTGGAACTAACAGATGTCTTACTTGGTGTGAATCCAACTCAAGGTCATGCCCAAGTCCCTGCCTACATCCAGTGGTGAGGTAGGATCTGAACTTGGTCTGCCAAGTTGTGCAGCCATTTATCAATCCTGGCTGCTTCCAGACTACAGGGTTAATCTAGATCATCGTCATTTTGTTCACTCCCTTGTTACTGATCATCCAGCTGCAGCTATTGTTCTTTCATCGCTTCCCTGTTCTTCTGTTCCCTTTAAGACCTCATTGTTTTGTTACTTAAATTCAGAAGAGGAGCACAAACTCAACTAGAGTAGATTATCTGAGCACTACAGTTTCATTTTCTGCTTTAGACTTAAAGCCATGGTTTCCCCTCTCCTCATTCCCATGTTGCACTGAAATGTGTGCTTAGGCTCTGAGATGGGGGTGGGGAGCAAGGGGCAGGCCCTTCAAGTTGGGCCTGTTTGCAAAGCAATGAAATGCCTCACTGTTTTACTAAAGCTCTCTGCAGAACTGTGCCAGGAGGAGTGATTCCCTTTCCCTTTTTTTTTACTTTCATGGCACCATTGAGCTTTTTTAAAAATTCAACATTTTATTCAAATACAAAGTCACAAGCCACACACATGCAAAGTAGAATAGATCTAACAGTAGATTTTATCAATCTTAGCACTTTATGCTACTTTTAACGGTCAATGTAGTCATGTCTCTTCTTATTGCTTTCTGCAGATTGACTTACCGGTTTATACAATCAATCAAATTTTTATGAAGGACCGAATGTTATCCCCACTTTGTGCATCTTATACCAAGGTCCATATTTGAAGATACATAGGTGTTGGAGGATGTCAAAAATCTGCTCAGTTAGCAAATGTAATAAAACTTCAATACCACACAGAAAGATTCCAGAGAGTCTAATCTTCTTATCACCCTTAACTGGTGTGTAAAATTTATTGGCAATGGCAATATTCCAGACATATACCAGGGTCTCAAATTTAGCTACTTTGAGGTCTTCTTCCACTGCTGGACAGCCATGCTGCTGTTATTTAAAAATATATGCAAGACATTGGGCATGCCAATGTAATGAATGGCAGGTGCATGAAGCACTAGCTCTGTCTTGGCTGCATTGTATTTTTTGATGCCCCTATGAATGGAAAATGAGCAAAATCTAGGAACACTTACCGTAACTACTCTCTTATTTGGCATACCAAGGGGTACATTTGGACAGACAGGCAGAAGTGTGATCAGCACAAATATGTTTTAAAATAAGAGATTTCATGTGGCATGATGCCATCTCAAAGTCTTAACGAACCAAGAGTGTCCAAAGAGAGGCCATGCATATCAATAACTTGTAGTATTTCCTGATTCCAAGATGGAATTGCTCTATTGTTAAGATTCAATGTCTGCCTGAAAGCAGAAAGTGCTAAAATGGGCCCTATCCCCTTTTAAAATCTTAGTCAATACCTAAGGGCATGGATATGCACTGTGGCCTTCACTGAATGAAGACCAGCTTCCAAATGGAGAACGGAAGTCTCAGTTGCCTTGGGGAGCTCAAAAATAACACAAGGATATTTATTTTGGGGTATTTCCAGGTTCACTTTTTTGAAGAGATCCCCATATTTGTGTGCCATAACAGATTTATGATGTGATTTTGGCTTCATAAATTTTGAGGGCTGGGGGAATATCTCTAGTTCCCTTACACCATTAGAACCTTGATAAAGAGTTCACTGTATTAATAACCAGTATTTGTATATGAGAAGTGTTTATTCCAACTTCCAGTTGAAGAAAAGCATAAACCTATATATTTAAAGATTTTGCCCACTCATTGGGGTGCCCATCAATTTGCCACTTGTGTTTTTTAGACCTATTGGCAAAACCCAAAACTTTTATTTTCATTAATCAACTGCCAGTTGATTAAAAGATTTCTTAACTCTTGTTGTGCCTGAGACAATATCAATCAATCAATCAAAACCTTTATTGCATTAGCATACAGCCATAGCAAAATAAGACAAAAATACTAGAGACAAGCAACCAAACAAAATTCAAAGCAATATTACTGGCGTAATGACATTTAAATTACCCTAAGACAATAATGTAAAGATTTAGTTGCCAGCGCCAAGAATCCAAAATGCGGATGTATATAAAACATAAAATGGCCCCAAAATAGGCTCGGCACATTGGGTTGAAAAAGTAATAAAAAGAATTAAAACAGGTCCAGGTCTAGGACACACTACCCAGTCAGAGTAGCCCTGAGTTTCAGAGCCTGCACTATAAAGATTGCCACCCCACGTGAAATTTGGGGATTTGCGTCCACAAGAAGCGATTTCAAACAGTCTTCCTTAGATGTAATGGTGGACGGGATCAAGAGGAGGAGCTTAGGTCTTATTGGCTCATAAATAGGGCAGTAGAAAAGAAATGTATGAAGTCCTCTACTTCATTCATTGTGCATGGACATAAACGCTGAGTAATAGGGGTCTTAGAGTAAATCCCTGCAGGAAGGCCGTGGGTATAGAATGGAAACGGGCCATAGTAAACGCTCTTCTCAAATTGGGCTCCGTCAGGTCTATCAAGTAGTTGGCAAGTGATCTTACCACTTTCACTTTAGGGAGCCACATGGAGAGGCGAGCTGTAATGGACTGTGCCCGGTCCATGGCCTCGTCTCTTGTAAGAATCCAGGCCCGGATTTTATGTTGGTCCCAAGATGACAGCGTGTCGAGATCTGGGAGGGAGTAGCGTGCAGTAATAGTCTCCATGGCCTTGGACCATTTGTTGGTATGAGAACAAGTTAAAAGGCTTGCCTAGCTAGTAGGGAACCTGGGGCATTGAATAATTTACAGTAAAAACTAATGATTCTAATGTGGGCTCTTGCAACAATGGAGGGAGGCCCAGTTCTGTTCTTAACTGTGCAGCAACTGAGCCCTTGGGGAGGCCCAGTATCTTTCGTGCAAAAGAGTTTTGCAGAATCTCCAGCGATTGTAGTGTTTTTAAATTCCACCCCCAGATTTCAACCCCATACAGTAACATCGGGAGGACTTTGCTGATAAATGCTTTTCTGATTGGTGGAACCAACTGGCCGCCTTTTGCATAGAAGAATTTCTCCAAGGCTTTGATGGTTCTACGGGCAGCCAGGATGGTCATATTTAGGTGAGCTGACCAGCTAAGCCCATGCTGAAAAGTGATACCCAAATACTTGAATGCTGAACAATATTCAATAGAGTGGCCCTCAAAATTCCAGAAAGGCTTCCGAGTTTTCGTGCCAAAAGTAAGAATTTTGGTTTTGGCGAAATTGATTTTGAGGGAGTTGGTATCACAATATGTCATGAGCCCTCTGAGCATGTTGTTTAAGCCCTGCTTGGTTAAAGACAGTATCACCATGTCGTCCGCATAGAGTAATATGGGGATCTTGAGCTGTTGTAAAGAGGGGACAGATTGATTTAGGGCCTTCATGGTTGTAACGATGTCATTGATGTAGAAATTGAATAGAAAAGGGGCCAAGAGGCAGCCCTGTTTGACCCCTTTATTCAGAGGGAAAGGATCAGATAGAGCTCCCAGAGGGCCGAATTTTACTCTGGCCGCCTGAGACAATAAAATTGGGTCATTAGCATACGTAAGTACTGTAACTTTCTTGGTTCCCAGTACAATGGTACCTCTGGTTACGTACTTAATTTTTTCCGGAGATCCGTTCTTAACCTGAAACTTTTCTTAACCTGAAGCACCACTTTAGCTAATGGGGCCTCCCGCTGCTGCCGCGCCACCGCCACACGATTTCTGTTCTCATCCTGAAGCAAAGTTCTTAACCCGAGGTACTATTTCTGGGTTAGCGGAGTCTGTAACCTGAAGCGTATGTAACCCGAGGTACCACTGTATACGGGGTACATAATTATCATTGTTACTCAAATCATGAGTTGACGTAAATGTTAAACGATGTTGGTGCTAATAAGCATCCCTAATGGATACCCTGTTTAGCATGGATCGGATCTGAGAGCAAACTTGAAAGGGATATCCTAGTATCAGAATTAAGTTCCTAGATCAGCTTGTTACGAGGTTTCTGGCTGCTATTCATGTGCACTGCAAAACAAAGATCTCTATGGTATAATAGCAGATCTGGAAGGTTTAAGCTGTCTCCTTGGATTGGAAACTATAGTTCATGTAATGTACTTCCCAACCCACCATATGTTTTTGAGGTCTGTTGTGGACATAAGTGCAAACATTTGTTTAGCTGTGCAGCTATACCAGATTTGCACAAAAGAGCAGTCAGTAATTTTTTAAACCTTTGTGTTGCTTCAAGCCAGACAAGGATTTGAAGTCACTCCCATGAAAGGCTGCCACTTCCTTTTATCCCCTTTCCGTTTTCCAACCCCTGTAGCTGCAAGGGCAAATGTTACTGTTATAGCTGTTTTGCACAAGAGCATTTCTGGACAAAAGAGGTGTTTTGAAAATAAACATGCCGCAAACATGCCGGTACTGACAGCCAGTGGGAAAGGGCAGGCTGCATCCTTTCCTTTGCGCTGATGGAAGCAGAATGGAAGACGGGTTTGGTGATAAGCACCCAGAAAAATGTCAGTGCATATGAAAAGAATCCCTCCCATACAACGAGCTTCATTGCAACTGCGCTCGGGTAACATGATCTTTTTTTTTTTTTTTTTTGGATTTTCTTCCTTTATTGGATTATCTGCAGATTGGGAAGATCTGGGGGAACGTACGTGTTGCTACTTGGAATAAGAGGATGTCATGTGGACACTGCAAAAAAAGAGAGGGGGTAGAAGACAAAGCAGGTTCAGATTCACTGCTATGTGGATGAGCCTTCGGTATCTAGTAATACAAGTACAGGTTCAGTGTTGTAGCGACACACTGTCACACTACTGACCAAATTTTGTGATAGCTTTAGTGAAGTGGAGGGACGCGGGTGGCGCTGTGGGTTAAACCACTGAGCCTAGGGCTTGCCGATCAGAAGGTCGGCGGTTCGAATCCCCGCGACGGGGTGAGCTCCCGTTGCTCGGTCCCTGCTCCTGCCAACCTAGCACTTTGAAAGCATGTCAAAGTGCAAGTAGATAAATAGGTACCACTCTGGCGGGAAGGTAAACGGCGTTTCCGTGCGCTGCTCTGGTTCGCCAGAAGTGGCTTAGTCATGCTGGCCACATGACCCGGAAGCTGTACGCCGGCTCCCTTTGCCAATAAAAAGATGAGCACCGCAACTCCAGAGTCGGTCACAACTGGCCCTAATGGTCAGGGGTCCCTTTACTTTACCTTTTAGTGAAGTGGTCCAGAAAACTTTCCATTTGTTTCAGTCCTAACACTACTTATATGGGACTAAGCCTCACAGATTTCAGACATACTAAAACTAATAACTATTTTCAGTTACTTTTTTAAAAAAAACACCCAACATTACATGCTTTGAAATATTTCCAAGTATTTCAGTAAAAATAATTTCAAGGTAAAGTCTTGAATTGGTTTCAATGTAACATTTAAATCAGACCCAGTGCACTTTTAATCTTACTTTTTTCCCTCACACAATATTTCATTTCAACTATTTTGGGGTGTTTTAAAAAAATGTTTGCGATACTTGTAAAATTAACATGCTTCTTTTCTACTAAATACAAATGAACACGCAAAATCAAACTTGTCTATTTACAGTGCAGAAAATTATTAGATTTTAAATCCTCCAGAAAAATTACATCACTGAATTGTCTGATCTATGGTTTCTATCACACTGCAATTTGCACTTAAGGCTCCAATATGACATTTTCTATACTAACATATAGTAGCAATCTAAGTTGAGCAAGATCATATCATATCTGCATTTCATTGTTCACTAGCAAAATAAGCACTGTTTTCCAATAGGTTCTGCATTTGTTCTGAAAAACAGTCATCCACTGAATTATTATTTTTTAGTGACCCTGATGGGTATATTAATGCCATTTTTGAAACTAGTAGGAAACCATAAGCCTTTCTTGTTTTTCAGCTACAGTTGAACTTGATGCCGGACCTGTTAGAGTCTCCCTATAGGATCAATTGATGAATCATCAAAACAAGATGAAGTGTCCAAGGCCAGAAAGGAGTATCTAGATGTTTTAAAGAAAAACTATATGATTTGAGTAAATTCTGATAATATTAAATAAACAAAATGTAATTTTTTGTAGTTTGAAGTATATTATAAATTATAAATATTTCAGGCATTTTGCACTTGTCTGGAAAAATGTTGTAGAGCTGTATAGCCATATGGTTCCTTCTTTCATTTGTTATGAAAGCTGTATTATTATTATTATTATTATTATTATTATTATTAGCAAAAACAAACAAACACTAGCCTAGATGTTTTACAGAACTGTCCATGTCCCCTTGTCCTGTATATTTAAAACCAAAGTATTTCTTGACACGTTTAGCGTAATTTGCTACTTGAAATGTTGTGCAGGATTTGTCTGTCGTTGGGTAACAGTTAAAATGCTGGTCTGAAACATTTCCTGTGTACCTTTTCCTGCACTCTGTACATTTACTACTTTTGTCACTAGTGATTTTGCACAGCTTAGGACTGCCATAAGACATTCAACAATACAGTGGACGCTCGGGTTGCAAACGTGATCCGTGCAGGAGGCACATTCGCAACCCGCAGCATTCGCAACCCACAGCGCCGTGTCTGCAGGCGCGTCCATAACCTGAAAAAACGCAACCTGAAGCGTCTGTAACCCAAGGTATGACTGTAGTGACTTCACTGCAGTATTTAAATGCTAAACAGTGGTACCTCGGGTTAAGTACTTAATTCGTTCCAGAGGTCCATACTTAACCTGAAACTGTTCTTAACCTGAAGCACCACTTTAGCAAATGGGGCCTCCTGCTGCTGCCACCACCAGAGCACGATTTCTATTCTCATCCTGAAGCAAAGTTCTTAACCTGAAGCACTATTTCTGGGTTAGCAGAGTCTGTAACCTGAAGCGTATTTAACCTGAAGCGTATGTAACCCGAGGTACCACTGTACTGACAGAAGTGCCAACAGACTTGTTATTTGTATTTTTAAATGGTACATAAAATGCACTGAAGTTTTTAATTGAATAAAAACTGGTCTATACAGAGTTCCTGATACTGTATTCCATCGGGTAGTAGTGACATCTACCTCCAATTTTCTTACCATTTCCCAAGCTTGATCCTGTTAAATAAATGTAATTCATTGTCCTATTTCTCTCTTACTACATAGATATCATCTGATGGTAACAGATATTTTATATGGAAAACGAGTAGTTGGCACTCTTGCCCGATGAAAGTTTTGTCACACAAACGGCAAGACAGCTTAAGTATCACAGACTGGTTGGACATCTTAAGATTGGTGAGAGGAACCAACTAGGGAACCAACTGTTGATCCATGTGCTATATTCAATACATACAAGAAAGACCTTTAAATTTTTAGAACATATTCATATGTGGGGATTATCTCTACAATTGGAGAGGGGGCTGCTTTCCTGTAACTGATATTTTCTTTTTCTTTTTGCAAAACACCATTTACTTCCCAAGGTGGGGAAGAGTGCAGAAGTGGCCACTCAAAAACAAAGCATTGATGAATTCAGTCTGTAAATTTAGTGGGACGTAAACCTACATAGGACTGCGTGGGACGTAAACCTACATAGGACTGCCTGCCACTTCTTAATGTTATATTGTGTTGATAAGATATTTATTAAAGTTTCAAAGATAAAAAAAGAAGTTACAATAATAATAATAAGAACAAGAAAAAAAAGGGAAAAAAAGAAAAAAAAAAGAAAAAAGAGAATACAAAATGCAAAAAAGTAAAAACAATTAAAAACAAATCAATCTTTCCATATCTTGTCTTTCATTCACTTGTTTCCCTGACCTCCTCACACCTCCCCTTTTTTGTATTCCAGTTCAGTAAGTTAAATTCAGCAAATCCTTTCCCTCTTTGTTTTTATCTTAGATCTTTATCTTAATATATAATAACCGTATATTCTCATCTGTTAGCAGTCCATTTTTACATACTCCTTATAGCATTGGTACCAAAAACCCCTTAGCTTCATTCCAACATCATTCTAACATTCATTAATTTTACAGTATTTCTGTAGATAGTCTTTAAATTTCTTCCAATCTTCTTCCACCAACTCTTGTGTTGAGAGTTTATTTTGAAAAGTTTGTCCTTAGGACAATAAACTGAAAATGGACATGTCCCGATAGTTTGTGCTGCTCTGTGTACAAACAGTGGTGGACTATAAATCTGTTGTCTATCAGCAAAGAATTTGGAGTTTCCGTAAATAAGTAAATCTGATTTCTTGATATATTCAGGTATTCAGAAGGCAAACAATGAAAAATTAAAAGGAAAAGTTTGCACAAACAGCACATAAAATTCATTTATGCTGACATCTTCCTAATATATTTATATTTATGGTGACAACTTCCTGATGAGTGCTTCTCACGTTTTACTTGGTGATAAGTTTCTCATTGTATCAGTCATACTAATTTTGGTTAATTGCTATTGGTGTAGGCTTAACCAAAGGATAAAATATAGATGGATAGTTCTTTGGAAACCAGCTTCTATCTGTCAGTAGATTGTCAAGCACATCACTTCCTCCTGTTGTGATGGTAGAGCTTTCTGTGTAGGAACAAAGCTTCCTAAATCTGGTTCCACCGAACAACTTGGTGCAATTCAGCCCTTTTAAAACCCATCTAGTCCTTACGTAAGCTCAGACCCCCAATGAGATCAAACCACTTTGGCTATTTGCTTTTGATAGATCTACCCTCCTATAAAAAGAAGAAATGTTTCAATTATAAGACTTTACTGAATGGAAATCAGATGGGTCAAGATAATTCCTAAATTAGTCTTCATATATTTTGCACATAGCTATATTTGTTGTAAATGCATGCTGAGGACAAGACTGAAAGCAACTGAATTTCTGAAAAATCCAGTGCCTTTTTTCAGCTGGGAATCTTGTTCTGAATTCACTTCTGTGCTGCTAAAAATATATCCTCGTGTGTCCAAAAAAAGCCTAGGCAGAGAACTAAGTTACATATTTAATCACTGCACCAGAATGAGGAAGGTTTTTTGAGGCTCATAGCCCCCTGAGGAAGTTGTGCTGTTCCTCTGCAGCAAGAGAGATTGTGCTTGAGGCAGGGAGCATTTTTGGAAAGAGCAAGACAGTGCCATGATTCAGGAGTTGCAACATGAAAATGAGTTCTTTCCCCACAATAACTTAACTTTCCTAAGTGTATTTCTTGCTCACTAATGCTACTCACTGATTTCACATCAACTATTCTCTAAAATGAGGGTCAACAGGGAATTGAAATTCCCTGAATGACAACCCCCCCCCCCGCCATCAGTTATCCTTTGGGCTTTTTAAATATTTCAGTTGCCACTGGTGTCAAAGCCACTCTCTACTACTAGGATGTGACTATAAGCACATAGGTCTGCTGCAGAACATTCTGGCATTCTGTGTCATGTACTTTGTGCGATGCTGGAACAATCATGCGGTAGAATGCTAATGGCCAATTTGGAATTAATGCAGCTGTAATAAACACCCTTAAAACGAGAGAGACAATCTGAAGGAGGTAGCAGCCTTTGTACACAATTTGCTTCTCCTAGAAACAAAAGCTGTCTGACAAGCAGTCCCCAGGAGTATTCTATTTATCCCCACAGGGCTTTAGTTGGCAAACACCTGACCTGAATTTGTTTCCTGCAATAGCAGTGACTGGAAAAGCAATTATTCAGCCAGGATTCATTTTTTTAAAGTGTGTGTATGTATGTATGTATGTATGTATGTGTAAATAAATAAACCTAAGATGAGGGGGGATTTCTGGATGCTTTATTTCACATCTGTGGGTGGTATCCAGCACAGCAATCTGCTTTTGGAACAGACTGCCACTTGCATAATTGAACATTAGCCCCTCTGCATACTCAAAATCTGCTCCAGAGGGTTAGAAGCAGCTTTTTGTGGGGGTGGGCAGTGAAAGAAGAGGTTGGGGAAGTCTCAGTGCATGAACAGAACGCAGCTTACACATTGTTAGATACAACCCTGTATGTTCATTGTTTTGCTTTGATTTTCACCCATCTAGATATAGTGGTTTTATTTGATTGTGGTTGTGGCTGGGGGTGTATGTGTCTGGCATCAACATGGTATTTCTAAGTACAGTGGTGCCCCGCAAGACGAATGCCTCGCAAGACGGAAAACCCGCTAGACGAAAGGGTTTTCCGTTTTGGAGGTGCTTCGCAAAACGAATTTCCTATGTGCTTGCTTCGCAAGACGAAAATGTCTTGCGAGTTCCTGCAGGTTTTTTTTCCTTTTTCCCTTTTTCCCAAGCCGCTAAACCGCTTATCAGCTGATGGCTAAGCCGCTTAACAGCTGATGCTAAGCCGCTTATCAGCTGATCGTTAAGCCGCTTATCAGCTTATCGTTAAGCCGCTTATCAGCTGATCCACTAAGCCTGCTAAGCCCTGTAGCACTAATCCGCTAAACTGCTAATGGGCTTGCTTCGCAAGACGAAAAAACCCGCAAGACGAAGAGACTCGCGGAACGGATTCTTTTCGTCTTGCGAGGCACCACTGTAATGCTTCATATTGGCTTTATAGTGAATAACTTGTTCAGATCCCCAAGCGGGGGGGGGGGGGGGTTAACAGTGAAGACAACTTTGGTCTTCATTTCACTGATGAGCATCTTGAGTATGGTCTTTTAAGCCAGATCAACTTTACTTGCCTTGTGCTCTTAAAAAATTGACTAGCTTATAACACAATTCAAGTAGCTTTGCAAATCCTTAGTGTACTGCGGTGCAGCTCTCTGAAAGTCCTTGTGCTAGAAGCAGAGCTTATAAATAGAAAGTTGCTGTTAACCCAAACAGGCAAGTTCCAAAATGAGAGCTGCTTGGAGCGATGGTATCACTTCTGTCAGTGACAGGCATGTTAATTGAGCATGCATGATGCCCTCAATACAAATAATAATTGATTGCTGTTAGTCCAAAGGGACTGACAGGTTCTGTGCAGTTAGGACCGTAGCCATTTGCCTGAGGAGTAATACATTGGTGCCTCGCAAGACGAAATTAATCCATTCCGTGAGTCTCTTCGTCTTGCGGTTTTTTCGTCTTGCGAAGCACGGCTGTTAGCGGCTTAGCGGCTATTAACGGCTTAGCGGCTATTAACGGCTTAGCGGCTTTAAGAAAAAGGAACAAACCGTAGAACTCGCAAGACATTTCGTCTTGCGAAGCAAGCCCATAGGGAAATTCGTCTTGCGGAACGACTCAAAAAATGCAAAACCCTTTCGTCTAGCGAGTTTTTCGTCTTGCGAGGCATTCGTCTTGCGGGGCACCACTGTAGAAGCATTTGACTCCACCCATGTAGATTGGCATCATTTCTGTGAAGGACTGCAAGTGACTTCTTCACAATGGCTAGAACTAAGTGAGAGAGCAGCTGAAGTATCTCAAATACTTCACTAGCTGTTCATTATTGACTCACTTGACTATTATACTATTGATTAATGCTCAAGATGCTATTACTGCTTGAGTCTTAAATGGCCCTTTCAGAACCATCTAAATGAAGCTCTGGGGAAGGGGTAAAGCGTTGCCTTTCTGCTTGTCTCAACCCGATCAGCAATTGGCTAAATAACGATACTTCTGGGAGCCATCGCAGCTCTTGTTTCTAACAATTGTTCATTGGAAAACCCCTGAAATTCCTGAGGAATGTGTAGGTGCCTTAATTGGAATACGGCGCCAGTCCTTAAACTACAGTGTGTTGTAATGGTTAGAGTGTTGGACTAGGACCTGAGAGGGCAAGGTTTGAATTCCCACTCAGCCATGAAACTCACTTGGTGACCTTAAAGCAATACCGTCCCTACTAGGCCACCGTGATACACACCATTCACTGCAAATTTGGAGGCCCCTCTGTACACACAGAACTCCCGATCTTCACTTCTCCCATTGCACCACCACATCCTGTCTGAAGGTCTTCAGCTCCTCCTCACCAAAAAACGCCACTCTTCCTTTCTCCTCCCCATGCTTGGAACTGCTTCTGAGAACAAGGTCAATGGGTGACCATGGGTCAGACACCATCTCTTAGCCTAAGCTACCTCACGGGGTTGCGAGAATGAAAGGGGGAGAAGGAGAACCATGTAAGCCGCCATGAGATCCTTGGAAGATAAAGCTGGTATATAAATGTAATAATATATTAAAAATACACTGGCTGCCTGTGGCGTTTGCCCTCCTAGGTGTGTGACATCATACTGGGTTCATAAGGAAAGGGTTAACTAATTGTAAAATGACTAACCTATAGGAACCCAAGGGGAGGAGTTAGAGTTGTTAAGAAGTCAGTCTGGAGTTAGAGAAGAGAGAGGGAAGATAAGTCTGTGTGTTGGGCTAGTCTGAGGTGAGAGAAACTGTTAAGTTGAGATAATCAGTCAGAAAGTATTAGGAAGGTATAGGCTGGTAAAGAAACTAAGGATAAGAAACTGACAAGAAAATTAACTGAGAGACCATACTTGTTAATGCTTACAAAATAAACTTGTTTATTTGCTTTAATTTTAACAGTTGTCTGGACTCAGTGTGTACCCGAGAATAACGAGTTGGTGGCAGCGGGGAAGCGAGCACAGTAGTGGCACAGGGATCAATAGACCGTCAAATGTCCGGGGACCTTGTGTGATCGCCACACTGCCTTTATTGAACACAGTTCAAAGTGCCGAGGTTGACTTATAAAGTCTTCACAACTTGGCATCAGCCTACCTTTATAGTAAGCTCGTTGTTGAGGGCACTTACTCAGTGAATAAGCTAGGAGACAACAAACATCCTGCTCTCTGGCCAAGTAGATGCCTGTTGCAAGCCCACAAGCAGGACATGACTGCGACAGCATTCTCCTGACACCTGCATTACAGCAGCATGCCACCTCCAATAACTAGAAGTATTAAACACCTAACATCAAAACCAGTAGGTTTTGACAGGCTTATCCAGTCAACTGGGTGGGAGACTCAAGACAGGATTTCCAATTGAGATATTATT